TGTTACCATATTCCAAAGATTAGCCCACTGTTCAAGTCCTGTAATTGCTGTGTTGAGAATAACAACTAACTTGTCAATCAAAATTTTTTCCTTTTCAATAACCTCTCTGTAACTTTCTTCACTATCGGAAGTGGCATTTTCTGGATCTGGAACCATACTTCAGATTTCACCGTCCGTTAATTGATTGATGATTAATGATCGGGGCATTGTCGTTGCAATTAAAAACTTCTGTTACATCATTATCGCTTCTTCACATTTCTTTACAAAATCCAATAACTCAAAATTTTCATTTTTAGTTTGCGATGTCCGAAAACCTTCAAATTCACGGCATCATCTTCATCGTCCTCACCATGAAATATTGTAGCTGGCCATAAATTATGCCAAGCATTTCTTAACGTATCTGGAGACATATCCTCCCACAATCTTGCAATGCTCCACACAGCAGATTTTATGCTAAAAAATTTCAAAAAATCTTGAATAGTCTTGCCATTGTTCAAAAAATTTAAAATAGATTTAAAAATTAAAATGCTACTTTATATTTGCATTTCAGCACGTGCACTGTTCCCATATCAATAGGCTGAATGATAGACGTACAATTTGGAGGGAAGAATAATATGCATACATTATCTTTCACTAAAACTTTAAGTGAAGTAGGCGCCAAACAGTTGTCAACAATCAGGACTATTTCCGAGTCATTAGATAAACCAATTGAAATCAAATGTCGCCGAGCCTCGGGTATAAAATAATTTTCAAACCAATCATTCATCAGCACTCATGTCATCCGTGCCCTTTTATTTGAGCGATATATAACGGGGAAAATTGTTACTCCTTAAAATGTTCGAGGTCGTGCATGTTTTTGGATTACGAAAAGTTTGCACTTGTGCATTCCTGCAGCATTTGCATATGCTAAAACTGTTAGTCTCACTTTGGAATCTTTGACACCAGTTGGAGCCTTTTCTGGTGAATCTTCGGATTATGGTAACTTGGAGATTTTTTGGTGAAAATTTGGCGACCAACCCTGCTACAGCAAACTCCTACTTTTTTTTTTGTGAACGGCATTTTGTTTTCACAAAATAAAGGCATTTTTTTTTTTTTAACTCAACATTTTGTCCAACAATCTGCTAGCTGAATTACGCTTATAATAGAACTTTTATGGAACAAAAGGGCTTAATCATGACGAAGATTAGATGCGAAATTGGGAGAAAGTGCAGAATCGCCCACTGCTTGCCACTTTTTTAAGAATTGCACATACACGTTATCCATGTACACGTCGACCTATTGTCACTTAAAAAAAATCCTAGAATTGCGCACACTCTTGACTTTATCCATGTACACATGGACCTATTTTCACTTAAAAAATCAAAGAAAATTGACAAAAATCCAATTCTTCTTACTCTTGTAAAAAGCACCAAACAAATAAGTGGGCGATTCCGCACTTTAGCAGCGAAATTGTTTTTAAGTGCTTATTAGCTAAAATCTCGATTAGAATTTTCTGGAAAATGTCACATTACATGTATCATGATCTCTCAATTCTCTGAGACAAAATAATCTGTGATTCTAACTGTGTACTTCTCAGATTATTGCTAAAGTCCTACTAGTAACCTTTATCGCCTTACCAAAATATCGCCAAACTACCTGTTACCATATTCTAAAGATTAGCCCCTTTTCTGTAGAGGTTGACAAGATATTTCGTGGTACATATTGCCAGAAAAGACCAGTTTCATCAGCATTGTAAATTTGTTCTGGAGTTAATTGTTCACTAGTAATGAGTTCAATAAATTCATCTGCAAATTGTGCACTGGCTTCAGTATCAGCTGAAGCTTTTTCACCTGAAATTTTTAATTGTCTTATACCATGGTGATTTTTAAATTTGGTTAACCAACCTGTCGAACATGTGCACTAAGTGTTTAAGTTTATTTCTTCATGAAATATTTTGGCTTGAGCCATTAGCATTGGACCCATCAATAGCACGCGCTCGCTGCGATGCTGTCTGATCCATTCAATCATCACTTTAATCGTCACTTTTAGAATAGCGAACCCTTTTTCTGTTATTCATTGCAAGTGGGGTGTCGGAATCCCCAAAAATTCAAAAAGTTCCTTTTTTGTTCTGCTTATGTCATATACAGTTGACTTTCCAATGTCATACTCCTTGCATAATTTTGAGACAGATTTGCCTTTATCCATTTTTTGCAGCAATTCCACTTTTTATTTTGATTGTCATCGAAACATGCTATCGCTTTGAAGATCCTTCGGCAGCTTTTGTTTGTGGCTTACGCCGAAGAGAGAATTGGAAACTCTTTTTGACATAATCAAAAGTTCAAGCTTAATTTTTATAAAATTGCCCTAACAGTCTGCAACAAATAATAAGCCGAATCCAATTAGAAGATTAAGGAACAGCGCAATCTGCAACATTAACTGAAATGCCTTAGAATGAGTAAAGATAATTTTAGCCTAGCTTATACAATTTGTTATACATTAAATGCGCATGCGTAAAGCATAAAAAAAAGTTTGTGGCTTTGAGGTCCAGATTATAGATCATTCCGGATAATGGACATCCAGATTACGGACTTTGTACTGTATTTTGCATTGCTTTAAAGCTATGTATTTTAAATTCTATATGAAATTAAGCTAACATTAAAAATCTACTACTGATAATAATGTACTATATAGAATCAGAACAATTTTGTTAATTTGTTATTGTTGTCTTGTCCATATTACATGGAGCTTACGGCGAAGATAGGTTGGACCTTTGTTTTTCACCCCCAATTTTGAGGGAGAGCATCCCGAGGGTCTCCCACCAATCCACACAAGAGGACTTTCGGCTCGCCGCATATTTAGAGTGCTGCCATGCCGCACCAACACTATACATTTACAAGCATCCATGTTTTACCCGGGATTCGAACCCGGGCCTTTTATGCCGTAGTAGGCTTTCCCAACCTCTATACCATCTGGACGACCAAGATACTTTTATTTTAACTAAGTGCAAAATTAGTACGGTGGGAAAATGGGCTAAGAGTATGGTATATCAAAGATGTTTTTTTCCCTTAGATCTCATTTAATGGCAAAATTTCTTTTTCTTGTAAAGTGCTTACAGTGTCTCTTTCATAAGAGAGATTTCATAATGTCATGCCTTTAAATTTACAAAGGTTCCCATTGTACTCATACTTGTTCATAAATTATAATAAATTTAATCTAATTGGAAGAGAAACATGGCAATTTAAAATTTAGCCCAAAAGCAATTTTAATTTGACAAAAATTCTGAATAAAATTCTATTGAATTTCAAAGGCAATTAGATACAGATTTTCTTTTCTTCAAAGGGGGGTTGAAAAAAATGCCCCTTCATTTTACATACCTTTTTGCTTTGATCTACTCGTTCCTTTCAGTATAAATAGGTCTCACTCCTCCTTTGTTTGCAAAAATTTTTTTTATGTAAAAAATTATGCCTGGCCGTCCTTGAAATTACTATTAAGAATTTCGATGTGTTAAATTAAGATTGCATTTTTGGCTAATTTTAAACTTAAATCTTTTGAAATAATTTTGTTTCCTTTACCATTAGGTCACTATGCCTTTGATGGTTATGAATAAACTCAGCTCATGTTCCAGTTATGCACTGCAGTAGGCACAAATTGTGTTGTTGGTAAGAGCCTTGAGCATCGTACAGGTGATAGTATGGAGAGCACCTCGGGGGATGGGTCTAAGAGTCTTCCACCCCTCTTTCCTTACCAGCAACCTCTCAAGAGAACTTTTGGCCTGCTGCATATTTTGAGTGCCCCTGTGCCACACACACTGTATGCATTTACAAACGGCCGTTCTTTCGCCGAGATTTGAACCTGAGCCTTTCGGTACAGCAATCATCATCACTAACCACTATCCCGGTTGGGTGGCGTGTTTTATTTGTTATATAAAGTAAAGCATAACTTGCATGTGCTTTAAATCTTCACTACAAGAAGCTAAAAGCAGTCTACCATACATGTAAGTGCTTTAACAAGATAAATAATGCTACCAGAAGGCATAGCTGTGTACTTTTAATCTGAGGTGACGACACTCATGAGGAGACTTCATATAAGGATTGGTAACTGACTAGTTTGCTATTTGTTTAAGTTGCGTATTACTGCGTATAAAGAACTAAAACAGATTTATTATGAATCTAAGAGAAGCTGTATTAACAATAACAACATTGAAGACATCAAAATAATTATTACAAATAGTAGTTATCTCATTATCTGAGGATCTTGCTAGCGGCAGGAGTCTCTCTATTCAAGATTTGAGCATTTTAATATATTGATGTGTCTTGAACAGTCTTCATACTGAATTAGTCATGCCCTCTTAATTTTTTGGTTGTATTTTATGTTTTGTTATTCATTATAGTTTAAACAATATTAGAAGACAAAATGATATATTATTCCATAATCTTCCATGAAATTGAGAGGCTTTGATGGTAGAAACAGTGCAAATTATTAAATCTATTGATACTGATCGAGAAGTTGTAATGTTAACTGGAGGTGTTACTGAATGAATTATTGCTTCTGCTGTGTCAGAGCATGTTGTCTTGCACTTTGTAACAGCTTGAAGACTGAAACTTATGGGAGACTGCTCACATGAATTTCTTATCTTTGTGTGGACTGCTGTATATTGCCCCTCCATTATCATCATGATGATATGTAAAGGTCAGAGAAATGCACGTCTGCCAGAATAAGTTTAATGAATATTTGGTTTGAGGCGATTTGCACATCTAGATTGTAAAGAATCAGGAAAGCAAGTATCCATGTCTGTAATAGCCATAAATGCTGGTTTCACATGGTCATTTGAGACAAACTATTTTTTTATGAATGGATAATTTAAAAACTTTTGCATGTTTGAGCACTTTAAAAGGACCATCGTAAGGTGGTTGTAGTGGCTGTCATACTGCATCATGTTGCACAAACATATGCCAACATGTTTTGTAAAGTTTTGTGAATAAACAGTTTTTTTGTTGCATGTGATTTAGTTGGATTTGATTTAAGCAGCTGCGTACAGCTTCGAAGTTATTCATTATGTTCAACAGGATCAGTTTCAGAATTCAATGTGTCAAGAAAAATAACCTGAAAGTTTAATTGTAGTTCTGCATACAAGTTCAGGAGGAGTGTAATCATTGCTTTCTTTGAAAGCTGTTCTCAGACCAAGTTGCACTGTTGTTAAAATTTCTGTCAATTTTTGAGTTTGGTGACACATTAATGCAGTTCTAAAGAATGGGTAAAATTCCTCAATTAAGCCGTTGCTTTGAATATGATAAGTAGTTGTGTATATTTGTTGTATGCCTAAGAGTTTTGTTAAAGCTTCAATAAACAAGACTCGGATTTATGTCCTCTGTTGTAATAGTAGTTGGAACACCAAATCAAGATATCCAGTTCATGTTGAAAGCCTCTACTACTGTTGTAGCTTGTATACTGATGATGAGGATAGCTTCTATCCATCTAGTGAACCAACTGATAGCTGTTAGACAATGCATCTATCGATCTAAATGTGAAATTGGTCTGATGAGATCTGAAAATGAAATTGCATAGAAATTCCACTAAATGATTGTGAAAGTAATGAAGTGTGCTTGTGTATTTGAGCTTTTTGACATGGAAATACTCTATGTTGCCCAGTTCACAACATCTTTGTTGATGTTTGGCCACACATAATGGCTACGAACTAATTTTGATATCATTCAAATGGCTGAATGAGCTAAATTATGTATGCAATTGAAACACGCAATTTTTGGAATGCCTTGGGAATATTATAAGGTCTTGCTATGCCAGTAGATATATCTCAATATAATTCTATTTTTGAATTTAGAAGCTTAACTTTTTTTTATTTCTAAAGATAATTAGTAGTATTTGATATTTAACCCAATATCTGTTGTTTGTATAACTGAGCAATTTCTTCGTAATCAATATGACCAATAATTTTAATTTCATGAGTGCGAGAGAATGGGTCGGTAACATAATTATCTGTTCCTTTTATGTATTGGATATCAGTGGTGAATTTTGAAATAAAGTTAACAATTTTGACATAGGGAGCACTATTTCAGGTTTTTGTTTGAAAGCAAGTATTTGTGGTTTGTGATCGACAAACACTGTAATTTTTTTCCTTTTTTTTGTGTGTGTGTTTGTGTGTATCATTAAAAAATGAAAATTAAATTTCTATTATAGGACAACTGGTGTGTAAGAAAATTATAGGTGTAAGAGCTATATCAAATGCATTTAATTTACCTGATACTCACAAAATGCTGCAAAAAACATGTCGAGAGTTTGCTGAAAAAGAATTACAACCTATTGCTGCAAAAATCGACAAGGAGCACTTATTTCCAAAAGAACAGGTATTGCTGGCAAAGACCATAATTTTTAATTATTTATGCTTGTTTAGATTAAGGGAAAAAACTATATTTTTATTTTTGCTTAAGAATTTAATTTTAAGAAATATGTACTCATGCATGATATTAAACTAAGGAAAAGATGAGAAAATAAAATTATTTTTAAAAAAGTACTTTCTTGAACTTTGGTAAAAATTTCTATTTTGTGACCTGAACTCCAATATAAAATCCAGAAACAAATGTTTATCTCTTTGTAAATAAAAATAATACTAACTCATGTCATTTAATAAAACTATGCCTTTATCATCTAAATAAAATATAAATAATTGTAATTTATTTGTTGTTACAGAATTTTATGATTATCATTATGTATACATTATCTGACAGTTAGGACAGTATATTTACAAGCAACCTGAAAAAATGTCTTACCTTGAAATTTTAAAAGGCTTAAGTAAATTTAAAATGCTTAGTAAATTAGATATTATACATATGGAAGATACAAAACTTTATCGAACTTAAAACATGAATAAACTAGGTAATTGAAACGTTTCACTTCAAACAAAGTACTTTAGCTGAAAATGATTATCCATTAACTATATTTCAGACAACAAAATTTTGCATCTTGAAGTTTCATATGATATGATAAAAAATTTCAGAAGGGCTATTAATTTCGTTTTGGCATTTTGCATTGAAAACTTTAAATGTTGGTTCACTTTTCAAATTGTAGCCACCAAATATTATCATCCTGTGTTACATATAAAGAAATTTAATGAAGAATCTGCATAAATGTAAGTATGTTTATCGCATTGTGATATAACAATGGTACTTTGAGCCATCAAATTTTGAATAATTTAATCCTCTGCCAAATATGGGCATCTGGAAACCCTATTTGGATTTTGGAATTTGTTTCATTATTTATCAGACATTAAAGAATTTTTTATTAACAAACACAACGATTTCAAAGCAAGGAATGGCAACAATGTAGAGTGGAAAAATTTTTATCTCCAGCACGCAAGACTGTCTATCAAAATTTCTAAAGATATGCTCATTTTAAAATTATTTTGCGATATTGCTGTTGAATTGAATTTTATGGTTTAAGTGCAAAGAACATTTAATAGATAAAGGTAACACAGAAAAGGTTTTAAAAAATTCTCTTTGGGCATAATGTAAAATCTGAAAGATTTCAGATTTTTTTTAATTGTTATAATATCTAAGTTTTGTGTTGATACTTCATATAATTTTTTTAAATGTTCAGTAGTACGTCCTATAAGGAATACCTCTATTTTAGGAACAATTCTGTTGGTCCCAGTCACTTTGAATAAAGACTTTAATGTACACTGCGCAAAAAAAAAAGCGGGGGGCAGTTCTATATCTCGCATTCTACTGGGCCGATTGACAAAATTCAAATTGTTTTCATGTCAAAATTCAATTGTTTTCATGTCAATAAGTTGTATATTAGCTTTATATATAGCATTGTTCTAATATAGGTATTTTGACACAAAATCAGACTTTTTCTGAAATGGCATGCCAATTTTTTTTTCACATTTTGATTCTATGACTCAAATTATGCCTGGATATTAAATTTTGTAATTTGTGGTGAGAAATTTAAAAATTTATCTTGACTTATTTTTCTTAGTTTGGGCCAAGCTAATTATAAATTTCACTTGGTGAACTTCTTAATTTATAGCAACCTATTTTTCTCTCCTTTTTTTCATTGTACATGAGTGGGGAAAAAGTCATTGTTTATTACTTTCAAATAAATTTAACAAAGTGTGCAAACCACATTTGACGTAATTATTACTTATAACAAATATACCAGATTTCAAAACGCGCCAATATGTAAATTCACATATATCCCAGGAAATTTTGAATAAAAAACTCTTGATTAATGGAAACATTCTTGGTAAATGCTTTCACAGTAATTCATCTTGCGACGGTCCAAAATTTTACCTCTATCGTTGCAATACAAATTCCCCCATCTCTTAATCATTACCTCCTATTCCGAAAACCAACAAAACAGAGGTCCATTCCATTATCCATGCACCATTATTCAGGCGTCATGCCTAGCCTCTAATGTTTTCCAAAGACAAACATGAAGATCCCCCGAACCGAGGTCCTATTCCATTATTCCATGCACCATTATTCAGGCGTCATGCCTGCTTTGAGCACTCTAATGTTTTCAAAGTAAACTTGCCGGTCACCCAAGACAACCAGTGAAGATCATCAAAGGAAAGTGGCTGGCTGTTTAGAACAGGCAGTAACCACTGGTAGCCAGACCACCTGTCTGGAACTGAGATCCAACTACGAGCTTTTTAACCGCAACATTTTTAATTAATTTTTTGCAGGTATGCTTAGAAATACATCTGTTTTAAGATGATGGTAAAAATTTTATAGGTTATAGATCAAAATTTTTTTCAAAAAATTTATTAAAATTATTAAAAAATACAAATTTTAAAATAATAAAAAAAATGGGTGAATTTTATTTGGAATAAACCTAAATTTCAAAATGTGAAAGAAAGAATCAACTAAGTTTAATAAAAAAAAGAGATTTTAATAAATATATGCCAAATTTAATTAATATCGAGGATCTAAAATTTTGAGAGCTAATTTTTTAAAAACTACTTGCGCAATTTTTATAAAACGTGGCAGTTTGGCATAATTTGAGAATAGAAATATGGAAAAAAAATTGCATATAATTTCAGAAAAAGTCTGATTTTTTTTGGTCAAAATCCTTATATTAGAACAGTGCTATATATAAATCTAATACATATCCTTAGTAACGCTTTTGAGACATGAAAAACGCAAGTTGCTTTTCGTCTATCGACCCAGTAGAACGAGAGATATAGAAATGTCCCCCCCCTTTTTTTTGGTGAAGTGTACGCTGAAGAACCGAAACATTATGACTGCCTACTCAGTAATGCATTGTGTGACCTTTGGCATACAAAACATCTGCAACTCGTCTTGTCATGGATGGCACAAGTTCTTAATAGATGACTGGAGACAGGTTGTACTAAATGTATAAGCAGCGGTCACGCAAAGTCAAGATACTCCGACATGGTGGTGTTTGAGCTCTGACCTGCTGCTACATGACATCCTAAACATGATCTATTTGATTAAGATCCACGGAGTTAGGTGGTCAGGATGTTAATTGGAATTCATCCTTATGCTACTTGAACTACAACAACACAATTCGAGACATTGGTTGTTGTCCTACTGGAAGATTCCGTTTTCAGATGGAAAGACCAATGCCATATAATGATACACCTGATCTGAAATTATGTTTAGATAGTCTGCAGCTTTCATGGTTTGTTTTACAGCAACTAAGGGTCCCTGAGCCACCCATGAGCATTCCCCCAAAGCATAATATCTCCACCACCAGCCTATGTACGACCTGCTATACAAGAGGGGGCAACAACTGTTTGCCTGGAAGACGCATACCCTGACACAACCACAGACATAATAAATGAGGAATAATGATTCATCCAATCAAGCAACTGTCTTCCACTTATCCAAGGTCCAGTCTTGATGTTTCTGTGCCCACTGTAGGTGTAACAATGACACTTGGTCAAGAGAGTCACACGAGAGGGACATCTGTTGTCTCATATCAAACGGTGTCTGCTGAACTGTGTTCCGAAACACTTGCGCTTGAACCTGCATTGCATTGGGCTGTCAGTTGAGTCATTGTCTGGAACCAATTTTGCTGTACCAAGCAGGGCAGTCTCCACTGTTCTTTTTCTTTGATGACACATAGACATCCAACACCTTGGTGTCTACTGCTGGTTTCACCATCATTTATCCACTTTGCGTAAATACTAACAACAACAGATCGTGAACAACCTACCTGTCATGCTGTTTCGGAGATACTTGTTCAAAGTTTTCGATCCATTAAAATCTGCACTCTATCAAATTTGCTTAGATCAGCAGTTATATATGATTCACACTTAATCATGTCATCTAGACGAGTTCATTGAAAAATGTGGGGATGGTCATAATGTTTTATCTCATCAGTGTATTTACCTCTTATTAAAGGACACACTATTTAAAGGATTTTTTTTTTTTAATTCAAAAATAAGAAAGAAATAAAAATAGAAATACTCTTTGTTAGTAATCGTTTAAGGTTTCAAAGGCAAGTTTGTGCTCAGTGAACGATAGTTTTGTTATAAGGGAACAATGAAATTAAAAGTTAATCCTTTTGTTTTGAAAATTGCTTTTCAGTAGGTGAAAGGGGAACAACACCTTGGTAAAAAGTAAGTTGCGATGCAATCAAAAGGGTATTTCATACTCATAAAATTAAAAATCCAGATATTCTTGCTACAGTTCTCAATAGGGAGAAGAAAACAATGTTAGCAAGTTGTAAGGCAATCTAAGAATGGGTATCAATAGGAAAGGAAAGGTGGTGAGATACTGAACCAGCGGCCAAGGCACAGGGATCTCACAATATGAATAAAGTGAAAACTTATATAATTTTTAGTTTGTGCTGCGACTGGAGAGCAGAAGAAGTCTAGTTTTGTACTTGCATGATATTTTTACATATGGTATCTAGCATGGCTTCTAAAAAGAAAAGATTAACATTAAATAAAAAGTTTGTAATATCCCTCGCTACTTTGATAAAATGTCGAGGAACCTAGTGAACTAAGTAGTGACTTATCGGTGAGTTCAAGTCCTTACAACATAGACTTGAGAAGGGTTAAAATACCTTTTTAATATTCACTCAAAGAAATGATAACAGATGGCCCCTTGGGCTTTCGGGAAAGCCTTCACTTGGGCTTTTAAATCAGGATAAGAAAATAAGAAACTAATCAAATATTAACTAAAATACATTTAGCTGAAGCTAGACACCGATATCTAATGTAGTTGGCCCTTAATTTAAACTAGCTGGTGACTGTTGACAGGCACACATACAATATGGCAAGCATAATAGATTTAAGAATGAACTAACCAGGAGGCAAATGCGTGCCACTAAGGACTCCTAACACTCTCTTTCGAAGTAAGTTGAACTATTCTTAAATACTACTTCTAATTCATTTGGATTCAATGCGATTCTAAAAACTCATTCTGGTAGGAAGTTGTAAGTGAGAAACAAGAATTGAAAGGAAAGGGTTTCAAAATTAAAAATAACTGTTATAAAATTAACATACACCTTACAAGTTGATTAATTCATGTAGCAAAAATTGAAAAGGTTAGTTTGAGAGACTTGGGCAGAAATTTGGGATACGTAATCACCAAGTTAAGTCATGTAAAGTTTAAATGAAGGTATAAAAATATTGCGGGTTATTAATTCAAATGAATATTGTAATACTGTAAAATTTAGAAAAAACTGAAGCATGTGAAATTTATACAGTAGTGTCCAATTAGTTTTGCTCTGTAAGAGGAGACAGTATACCTGTATGTGGAATATTATTGCTAGAAAAGGAAGTTTTGGAAAGTTTAGGACTCCAGAACATCAAAGTATTAAATGGTTGGTTAGGCAAATTTAATCAAAGACATAAGATTTCTTTTAAGACTATTTGTGGCGAAGGAAACTGGATAAAAGAGCTAAACGAAATTTGTGAAGATTATGAGGCCAAAAACATCTACAGTGCAGATGAAACTGGATTATTTTATAAAATTTTTCTTAATTAAGGAAACATCTCACTATGTTACTTTGTTGTAATATGGAGGAAGAGTTTGAGAATTGGAGAGGTTTTTTTTTTTTTTTTTTTTTTTAAAGGTTGCTTCAAAACACATCTATCCAAAAGCTTTATCAGTGTGTTGACATCGCAATAAAAAGTCATGGATAATGCAAAGCATAATGTCAGAATGATTGATATAGCTCTTGATGAAACAATGCATAAAAAAAAAGGGGGGGGGAAATCTGCTATTTCTTTACAATTTGTCAGTCCAGCCAAAAAATGTAAAACTGAAATCAGTGACATTAGTATTTTTTCCACCTAATGCAACATCAGTATTACAGCCTTTGGAGCAAGGTAGCTTAAAAGATATTTACAGAAAATTATTTTTACAGTATGTTCTTTGTCAAGCTGCTTGTGAAGACAGCGATCAGCTTGCAAAATGTGTCATTGTATTGAATGCCATTCAGTGGATAAGCTCTTACATCTATATCACAAAGTTGTATTCAGAACTGTTTTAAGAGAGCAGGTTTTGAAATTCCAGTTTTGAGTGTCCTCAGTGAAAATACTACTGATGAAAATGAAATGTTTGAACTTGTCAAAATCAGTGGCAGTACTCCAGTGCAAGAATATTTAGAAATTGACAAAAATGGGTATACTGAAGACACCAATGACAGTATAAAATCATTTATCTCAAACTTGGAAAGCAGTGAGAAAGGTGAAGAAGAGCCAGATGAAAAGTATGATATAAAAATCTATACCTTAACACACCTCTAAGTAAAAAAAAAAAAAAAAAAAAGTTTTAACACGCCTCCCAATTAAAAAAAAAAAAAAAATCTTTATAATTGTTACTGACAGTTGTATGGCCCTATTATTTTGCATTAATCAGTCATTTATAATTTTAACTCTTACTATCAATTCTGCTTTTTATTTCTTCGCCAAAATGCAAATTGTTTAGACAGTATTTGAGCTGAGGTTTTTGCAGTGTAAGACAGAGCATGTTTCTGCCTCTTGAGGCTGTATTACTAGGTTTCACCAGCTGTGATAACATTGCAATTATTCGACTTTGCATTATTGCTGCTGACATTTAATTGTTACACCAGTGAGAAGTTCTAACCCAAATTAGAATTTAAAATCAGTTGCATAGTCTTTGACTGTTAAGCTTAAGCTTGATGTAATATGAATTTCTAATTAAATTACATTTCTTAATATGTACCCTCTGAAGGAGGGACACCTCTGTTTAAGAAAAAAATGTCTGGTCTGGTGGGTGTCCATTATTGGGAGACACTGCTATACTTTGAAAAACTTTCGAACTGTATTATACATTATGCCTGTAAAAATTTTTATGTTGCCTTTATTTTCATAACTGCTCATAGACATTCACTTCCAATTATGAGAATGTTTTAAATGATACGTGACTGAAAAATGTCTAAGCATAAATGATTCATGCTTAGGCATTTTTCAGTTTAAAAAATCAATTTTGTAAAATATATGGAATCAAACTTTTTATGTGGTCTCCTAGTCTTTATAGTTATATTTAAGAAAGGTATACACTAATTCTTAAAAAATAAAGCACAAAATGTTTTGAGTGCTGTATGGCAAAAATTAACTGAGGTATTTTTAAGTTTGAGATCAAGTTCTGGTACAGATACAAGCGGGTAGGATACTAGAATTTCATCATTGGTTATACAGGTATAGACCCACCACAGTAACTGTGTATTTCCATTCCAATTTTGATAGAGAACACCCGGGAGAATGGACTGAGAATTTCCCACCCTCTTCACTTACTTCCAAACCATTTGAGAGGATTTTCAACTTGCTAGTATTTTGAGCACACCCATGCTGCACTTAAGATGATCAGTGACTCTTTACACTTACAAATATGCATGTCTGCTTTGCATTTGAACTCAAACCATTGTGATGCCATTGTCAAGTGTCACTAATCACTATACCATTCAGGATGGCTGAGATTATGTTCATGTATCATACTCAATTTAAATTTGTATGTGACTAAAAATTAAATATCAGTTTAGAAAAAGGTTTCTAATGCTGTTAAATTAAATGATAAGCTTTTCTAAGCAAACTGGCGTAAAAAGTATTGAATAATGCAAATTCTTTCAAAGGTGATCTTACTCACTATAATGGAATTTGTGTTCTAGAAAACGGTAGCAGATTTCAGTATTGACACGCAACCAATCGTAATATTTTTTGCATTGATTAAAAATGAGAAGTGCTTTCATTTTAATTTTTTGTATGATTATTAAATTATGATTTAATTTAATAAAACTGCATGAGAATTCTAGTAACATATTTTTAACTTTTGAAAACTTACAAACTACTTGGTGTGAAAATTCTTTTGGTGCATGATCTGTAACAAAATTAAAAATTTTGTACATTGCTTAGTCATAAAAGAATGTCATTGAATGGTTTGAATTCAATTTCAGAAAAAAATCGACATTATTCTGAATTATTTTTTAATGGACATTTTAAGGAAAGTCAAAAAGGTTGTTAAAAATAGCAAATTTTGAAATTAAATATCTGATTCAGTTTTGTAATATAAGAATCAAATGTGTTATATTTTATTTTTTATAATAAGTATAAACTTTATGTATGTGCTACTATAAAAACATTTAAAAAATTAGATTTTTGTAATTTGTGCAAAAATTAATTTTTTTTTAAACTTAAAAATGCTGAAGTATAAATATTCACATCATTTAAAACATTTTTGTAATTTGAAGTATATGTCTATGACAAATGATTGTGGAAAGAAAGGTTGAATAAGAATGTTGTGACTGTGGAGTATAAAATAACATTTCATGAGTATCAATGAAAAATGCTGTTTTATAGAACTTTAATATATTTAATTAAAAATTATAAGAACTTTACAGATAATCATTACTATTTAAAACTTATGTTTATGATTATTGTATTTTTAGATTAAAAGGCTTGGTGAATTAGGTTTACTGGCTGTAACTTTACCTGAAAATCAAGGAGGCGCTGGATTAGATTACTTAGCTTATGCAATAGCTATGGAAGAGATAAGTAGAGGTTGTGCTTCTTGTGGGGTGATTATGAGTGTAAACAATGTAAGTAATATGAACATAATGTAATTATTATATTTATACTTCAGTTATGAGCTTGGATGAGTTCTAAAACTGTATTATTTCCCTTAGTCTCTTTATTTAGGTGGAATACAAAAGTTTGGAAATGATGCACAAAAGAAGCAGTATATAAGTCCGTTTATTAATGGTGATCGTATTGGATGTTTTGCATTAAGTGAACCTGGTACAAAATTTTTCTTAATTATTATATCTTAATATAAAAACTATAGAAAAAGAATAATTTTTAGAGAAATTATCTATAAAAGTATCATGTTTCAATTATTAACGTACCATAGCTGCCAATTCTCCTGGTTGCACTGGGAGATTCCCGGTTTTTCATCTCATCTTTGTGTCTCCTGGTGGATTGCTGAATCTCCCGGTTTTAATTTTTAGCCTTTACGGAGGAAAATCTTTTTCCAGTAATAGATGAAATTTATTGAATGTATGAAATTTAAATTGGGCAAATTCTGTTTCTCCATTTCTAGTGATTTTCAAAATAATTTTTCTTTTTAAATTGTATTTCTTCTGATCTGTATTTTTTCTTATAAAACATTATTTTATTAGAGTTGTCTTAATCTACTGCAAACATTTGTAGATTTTCATATAAAGATTCAACCATTGTTTAATCAGTTAATTGTATTTGTTTTACTTCATTATATGATACATTACTAAGTTTAGCAAGATAAAATGATGTGCACTAATCATTAATTATATTTTTGTCGTATTTAAAAGTACTTCAATAAATAAAAGTTTTTCTTCCCTACTCATGATTTTTTTCGCATAAAGTATAAGAAAATTACAAAATGAAATTAGCCTGAGAGAATAAAATTTAGGATATCTAATTAAATATTAGCATATTTTACATCAGACTTGCATTATAAATGGTTCAGTAGCCAAAATCATGCATTATAAACTGAATTTGACTCAGTTTGGATCACATTTGGAATGGCATTGTTGCACAATATGAAAACCTATCAGTTTTTTCACAAAAATCTCCCAGATTTTCAGATTTCGAGGTTGGCAGTTGTTGATGTACTGCTATTTTAATAAATACAAATTACAGATGAGTTCAAGAAAATTTCAATTAATAAATGGACAAATTCAGTCTTCATTTAACAATAAATTCAACTGAAAAGTTAATTCATTTATATTCATAGCATTTTATTCTTGCGGATTTCAGGACAGAAAAGATAAATCATAATATTCAGACTAAAAGTGCAAAATAAGTAAGGCATATTAGATACATATAATTAAATTATTACATATATAAATTGATTATATTATTCATTGCATTATATGTACACAGCATCGAGGTTTGCCGATTTCGCCTCATGCAGAGATTTCCGGTGTTAGAATCACTGTTGCTGTAAAATTTCAACAGCTTTTCTTTTATTTTTTTGTATATCATACACAATCGTGTCACAATTCCATATGATTCTGCTGTAAACCGAGCAGTAGCACCTGCCTCCATCTTTTGCAGAATTTACACTTTTTGCATTACCATCAATGCAATGTATTTACATTTTTTAACATTGCAAGCAGCAAAATCATGAGCGCGTTTCTTATCTATCATTGTATAAAATGGCTGAAATTTATTTATCCACAAAATATCCAGATTAAAAAAAAATGGCAGCACTAAATAATCTCGTGAAGCAACCAAGCTCAGAAGATACAACAATGTGAATCATGAACTTAAAAGAAGAGTTGAGTGAATCGTCTGCTTTTTTACCTCGATGCAGATTAGCGGGGAAAAAACTTTTTATCATGATGTCAATAATTTGGTATTTCCGTTACAACTCATTATTATTCGGTAATTATTTGGTATGTATTTTTTCTTCGATATTTTGTACCCAATGCTGCGGTTTCCGAAACCTATAAACCGAATGTTTATATTTTGAGAGGCAACGCGGATTTCAAGAGTCGGCGGATTTTTGGTATTTAACTGTATCCCTATATCTTTTTTATTTGCTGTTAAAATAATATTAACTGAGATTTAAACAAAAATAGATTTTTGTTCTACTTAATAGCACATTAATGAAAAATAGTTTAACAAATAATCATTTTTAAAAAAAATAGCTATAGAATCTATTTTGTCTTTTTCTTTTCCTAAATTCATTTGGATTCTACAGTTGTATGTGAGCATGCAATTACAGTTCTCAAACATGTTTTAAACATGTTTTTCTTTCATTGCCTAAACATAAAAACCACACAGAGAAGCAGTGCAATTATTTTTACTATAGTTATTTGAATCCTTCCCTTTTTCCCCCTCCCTTTCAAGATCTAGTAAAATTAACTGTGTTATCAATTTATATATGTATTTATAATATTTTCATTGATATTAAAAGTTAATATTATGATGCATATTTAAAAAAAGCTGTTAATTTAAATGAATGTGTATAGTATACATATTAGTCTAAATGTTCAGCAAATATGTAATATATGAAAAGTAATTCTCTTTTTGCATTGTATTAAAAATTTTTTTAGCCCAAAGAAAGAAGAGGAAAATGATTTGCATTTTTCAGATATTCAGATGGGTAGCAATTCCATATAGTCTGAATATTTGAAATTATGCTGTAAAAATGTATGAGACATGCATTACAAGTCTGAATCATTTTATATGTTCGTGAAATCTTCCCATGCTGCATACATAGGCTTGAAATCAAATTTCAGTAAATCTAAATTATGCTGAATTGATTTTTTATGTTATATATATAATGATAATTATTTGTTTTATTTTAAAAACTACTTCTTTAAGAAAAATTGAGGATTCTGAATTAATGCTATAGATTTTACTTTAAGATGAAATTTTGGAGATGTTTTTCATTTTTTTCCTTCTTTCAGTCTTTCCTTAGAATATTAATTATCAGTTTTTTTAAAAAAGGTGTTTTGGGGGCAGTGAAAGAGCTGTTATCAAATGAATTTTGAATGAGAATGAATTCCTCTTCATATAAATATTGATACATAATTTTGGTGTTTAAAATATGATTTTTTAATAGCTTGGGTCCAGCATATATTAGGTAGTTATTTATAAAGTAAAAATTAAGTTTTGGAGACTTCAGTTAACTGAAGCTTCTGTTATCTGGGTCATTTATTCTTTTGTAGTCTTTTAAATTTGCTATTAATATATTTTTGTGATTTTGATTTTATTTGATTAAATTAAACAGAAAGATAAAATTTTATGCTACCTTCAAGCATTATTAAATTAATTTAGATGAATGGATATGATATTTGTAATGACTTATAATAAAAATCATTTTATTATAAGCCAAAAGATATATAAAACATATACATTTGAATTAATTCAGCAACATATCATCACATGTCATTTGGAAACTATGTACTTCTGATCATTAATTGAAAACAGTGTTCTTGTTTGTGTGCTCTGTAAATCATTGCTTAACCATAACAAGTACTTTTTTTTTTCTGAAAACAAACTAAGCAATGAAAGTGGTGTTATTTCTACAGTCTCTCCATACAAAAACATGTTGTCTTAAAACATGCAAAATGACTGCAATCAGTCACTATCTCCGTTTTAGCCTTTTGACATGTGTTGTTTACATGAGATTTGTCAGTTGAGGGATTCAGCTGGTTTGCACTGATTTGGCTGAACTGGTTCCTAAAATATATTTAACTTGGAAAACTAGTTATTAAAATTAAATTTCTATATTTATTTAAACAAAATTTATAACAATGTAGTAGCTATTTTTGTAACTTATTTAAACAATAAACTGGTTCTTAAAATTTTTGAATTTCATCACTGAAGTATCATATTTTTAATTGTAAAATGTAATATTTTAAAAATTTACTGTATTTGATGTAACAGTAAGAATCTGAATATCTGGCATTCAAGTAACCAGAAAGCTCAAGTGTCCAAAATATTCAGAATTTTTTTAACTTTTTTTAGCAAAAAATTAAGGAATTGAAAAACTTGTAAATCCATTATAAAGCATGTATTAGACTACTACTTGGTATCCTGCTTATAACATTCAAAATATGAATGCAGTTACACAGCTGTCCTCCAGAAGATTGTTAATTTTTTTTTTATTCCCCTTTACCCATTGTTGTATCCATTGTACTGTTCCAAGAATCCATCCTTGAAGCTGGATGTTTCTCCTCCTCCAAGGAAGATCTCATAGAAAGAGAAATGGAGAATTATTATAGCACTGGAATATGTGGAGTACATGGCAGGTTTTGATTTTGTCTTCACAAGAATTATTTTCATTTGTATGTTTAATGTCAACCAGCATCAAACAAAAACTGTACCTAGGGAGTGTGTTTAGCACCAATAATGGATAACCATGACAATGCAATCTAAAGGGCTGTTCACACTGGGGTGTATGTGAGCTAACAAAGACATCTGGCATAGCCGATACTACTCCAAAACCAGTTTTTCTTCACAGCAGAGCCAATTGCAAAATCTGAATTTCATGTATAACAGAGGTAATCAATACATGGAACTGACTCTGTTAGTTGAGATAAACCCCAGTATGAATGGCTTAAGATCTTTCTCTAACCAATTAATTCTCAATAAACTAGTTTAATTTTTGTAAAGTATAATATAAGTTAGCTGCTATTTATCTGTTTTCCCATCATCTTTTAAAAAAATTTTAAGATGGCAAACAGTGGATTATTTTCAAAATTACAGGATCCTGTAATTAAGAAAAGCGTATATTAATAGGCATAATATGCAGCTTTATTTGAATCTGGATTAACAATGGCTTTGCAATATGAGTAATTATGGCAGGCCAATTTAAGTTTTTATATGTTATATCCATAAGTCCATAATTATCTGCTCCTTCAAACTTCTGCCAGAATGACTGAATGCAAGTTTGGTGGGATTTCTGCCAATTCTCCTGGCCAACAAAATTTCATAATCAGATAAGATGTTTTACTTCCACATGTAAGCTCATGGCCTACAAAAATGCATCAGCATCTAAGTCTGAAATACAACTGTCAATATGTATAAAATTTTAAATGTAAGATATAGGCATTCGAATTAATAACAAATTAGATGACCATTCCTATAATTTTAGACTTAACACTTTTTTTGTTTGTTTTTATTAAGACTTCACTACATATTACTGTTTAGGTCAGAAAATTTTGTATTTTATTTTATTCATCAGTTTTTTATTCTGATTTTTAAAAATATAGATTACAAAGACATGACCTTTTTACTTCAGGTAATGGCAGTGATGCTGGAGCTGCATCTACTATTGCACGACTGGAAGGAGATTCATGGGTTTTAAATGGAACTAAGGCCTGGATTACAAATGGTTATGAAGCTGAAGCTGGACTGGTAAGCATGGATTTAATTCCCTCTCTCCTTCTTTTTTTAAATTTTGCAAAAATTACTCATCATTTACCTATGTATCCTCGCTTTTCTTTTAAATGTGTCAATAAATATCATTAACACAATTTAATGATAATTATTTTTCCATTTGCGGAGCAAAATAATGAGTGTCATACATCATCCTTTTCATCTCAGGATGGCATGTAAGGCTTTTTGGTCTTGTTCCTCATCTCCTGCAGTATAATATCGTTTTAGTAGCTTGGCTTCAGCAGCTTTGTTTGCTACTCAATTTTGTTTCATTCTCCTAATTAGTCTCTGCTTTTTTGATTGTTTCTTTTGAAAGCCATGTCAGTACTATTCTTGGAAGTTTTATGATTGGATTCCTTAATAGGTGTCCAATCTGTATTTAATGTCTTCTGTTACAAATTTGTCCTTATTTCTGCATATCATTTGGGGTAGAACTTTAGAATCATGTTCAGATAAGCAACAATTTAATGAACTGTAGTTGTTACAATAAATCTGATTTTACTTTTGAATCGAAAACTAATAATTTAGAATTCCAGGCACATTTCGAATCAAAAATTAATAATTTGCCACTTTCTATACTATTCCAAATCAACCGTGTAACAGCAATATGAATATTTGCACTGGATCTAAAAGACATGGTCCAATCAAAAACAAGACTGAATCAAAGCCCCAGCAAAAACACTTCGGAAACATAAAGAGGACGACTTCGGACACAACTACACGAGACCTCAGCAATAGGCATGCTTTGAGAAAGGTTTATTTAATCGGGTGGGTCCATTGGACCCAGCATGTGCACTTGCATGTTAAAATTGATGTTTTTTAAATAATATTAAAAAAGATTGCATATTCTACCTTCAATATATAAATATTATTGATTTATTAGATAAAATTGATGTGAACTAAAACAAATGTCTAACCACTAACAGCAGCTGCAGGAACATTTTACAAAAAGAAATGCAAATAAATCTGTTTTAATTAGTACTAAAAGTGAATGCTAAATCCTCTTAACAACTGCAACAGATCTTGTAAACTCATTAATTTTGCATAAATGATTGTCTTTTGTAATTTAATGCATCTTACAGTTTTGTTTCTATTTGATCAAGTTTGGGGGGACAGACATATTTATCAAAATTCAAGTCTTTTATTAATGAAAATTATAAAATTTTTTAATAAATGTGTGCTATACTGAGTACACCACTCTAGTGTTCTATATCATAACATATGTTCATTAAGCTGGAAGAGAAGCAGTTCACTTAACTAATTAAACAACTCATCATCTTCATAACATAACAACTTTTATATTCAACAAAAACAAATAAGAACCATTCTCTGTAAGCAAGCATGAGTGAGGCTACACTACAAACTGATATACAGATACAGCTTCTTTATAGTTTAAATTACAGTTTTAGGTAAATGAAATAATTCAGTTAAATAAACATTCAGAAAGTAAATAAGAGTTCAAAAGTCCAGTTGTGGTTAAACCCTTACTTGTCACACAATTTTGGCAAACTTTGTTCAAAAATCATTAAATCTTTTTATTGATATTTTTTTAATATTTATAAAATTCAGAATCAATTCATATAAAAACATTATATTTTTCTTTAAATATACAGTACAAAGTCCATAATCTGGACGTCCATTATCCAGAATGATCTATAATCCGGACCTCAAAGCCACAAACTTACAAACGTCCGCTACGCATGCACATAAAGCGTTTACCCATGTGCACTAGTGATGAAGAAAGTAACAGAGAACGTTATTGAAAAACGAAAAAATTTTGATTGACAGTTGTCGGTATTCTCGATACAGCAATTACAGGACTTGAACAGTTGAACTTTGTAACTGAACAAGAAATTATGTCTGTTTATACAAGGGGTTATCAAATGAAAAGGTACAAAACAACGTAAAAATGTAACAGTTAAATATTTGCATATTCTGCCATGGGAGAACGTAGTGAGACATCTTGGAATGCGATTGGAATATCTGACTGGGATCGGAGCATGCGTGGGCGCCCGCATGCGCAGGAGAGAGCAGAGCTCTTATCAAAAGCAGAGTCCGTATGAGGCCAGGAAGGCGTTCGCGTTGCAAAATTCGATGACTGAGGAGCAGCAAGGTGTTGTCCGATTTCTGACAGCGGAAGGGAGAAACCGGCAGCTATCATCGCCGGATGGTGGACAGTTTACGGAGAGAATGGGTCTCGACAAGTCTGTCAAAAAATGGAAGTGCCTGTTTCCAATGCAGTCCGGATAGTGGGGTATCCCGAGACAGGCCAGACGACACTGTCATCACGACGTCTCGACAGGTGGAGACCTAGTGAGAGATAGGCGGTCACATTGCGAATGGTGAAGGTGGATGTCACTGTGGACACCATGTGGCAATTGTTCACGACGGTTACGATATCAGAAGGTGTGTGCCACTTGGGTTCCGAGCAGCTCCCGACAGCAAAGGAGCAGTGTAGGGGTAGAGCGCATTTGTTTCGGTAATCAGGAAGACCCCGCTTCATGGATGGATCTCACAGGTGAGACCGTTGCCATCACACGAGCCAGAGACAAAGCGGGACAGCATGCAGTGGAAGCATGCGTCGTCACCTCCCCCCAAAAGTTCAAAGCCGTGCCCTCAGCAGGTAAGGTGTTTGCTCTTGCTTTTCGATGTTCAAGGTCCGTACTTGTGAAATTCCCGAGCACAGAAAAACCATTAACTCGATGTACTGTGAGACACTTCGATGCCGCAGGTCCATCAAGAACAAAAGACCGCTGTTCATGGAGGGTGTGGTTTTGCTCCATGATAACGCGCTCCAACACGCTCAAGTCACACACATGGAATGGCCAAGTTCAAGTGGGAGACCTTGGACCATCCGCCCTACAGTCCAGACATTCGCCCTGTGATTTCCAGTGTTTGTCCACTAAGAAAAACACTGAAAGGGAACCTTCAACTCGGACGACGTATCCAAGAACTGTGAAGGACAGAGTCTCGTCACGGCCACAGGAATTTTGGAACAAGATCCTGCGGCTTGTCATCAGTGTGATCGTTGTGCAGGCCTATGGGTATATTTTGAATAAATCTACATTTGTACCCATCATGTATTTCGTACCTTTTCATTTGATCACCCTTGTAGAATTAAAGAGAAATATTAGCACAAAAAACGAAGCACTTAAAAAAGTTAAAGTAAACAAATAAATATTAAGCTTTTTTTTTTTTTTTAAATTTGATACGCTTTAGATCTAATTGCTTTTTATTTCATAAATTACGTTTTCATATTTTTAATTGTATAATTTCTGCATGTCATTTTACCAGATTTAAATTGATGATCTATAATCTGGAAAAACCACTTAATCCAGAATCGCCGACGAGTCCGGATTACAGACTTTGTACTGTATAACATTTTTATGAACTTACCTTATATTTTTCTTTCCTCGCACACCTAAGTTGGGCAGAGAAGTTTCATTGCAGATATTGAAGAAAAATACGTAATTTTTGAAGAAAGAAAAAATAATATACACTGTTATATGCATATGATATTTTTATTCAACATCAGCAATAGCTATAATATTTTTCAAAATTTAATAATTTTTCTATGTATAAAAGTTTGAAACATGGTATACAGAATCCTCCATTACAATTTTACAATAATATCTCGTTTCTCTCCTAATTTGTTTTCCGTTTGCATTCTTCTTAGATGGACACACTTCATATTCTGTGTCAGGATGTTTCCTGTGTAGGTGGTATATGTTCCAAAAATTTGTTTTCAATGAAAAAACTGTTTAGTTTGAATAGTTTCTTTTTTTTTTCTTCATATATCTCACAATAACATCTTGAATGATAACACTCAACCTTTGTAAATCATTTGACATTAGAGTCCAGTGCGTTGAAAGTGGTAAGAACACTATTCAGTTGCGAAAAATTGTGAATTTGTATGCCTTGCCTGATAATGCTATAGTAATCATATATTGAACTTATAATAGAACAAATATACACCTATCATGAGAAAAAAATCAGATTAAATTTTTGTTAATGGGACACAAATATCTCAAATATCAATTTTGGAAAAGATAGCACACAGCCACAAAGAGAACTTCATTTATAGTGTAAAATCATTGTGAATTTGGCCATGTTGTCTGACTGTGCTAGTTATCATACATGTATTAACAGTTATTATGAATATAAAATTAATTTCATTATTTATTTTTTTGTGTGCATAAGGGCAACTCATCTTAAGTCTTAACCAAGTATGTGTGTATAGTGTATGTATATATATATATATGTTTTGTTTGATTAAAGATAAACATAATAAAATGATAAATTATTAAAACAACATATATGGTAAATTGCTAATCAACTTTTTTCAGGTATTCGCTACTACTGATAAATCAAAAAAACATAAAGGCATCAGTTGCTTTATAATTGATAAACCAACAGCAGGTTTGACATTAGGCAAGAAAGAAGACAAGTTGGGCATACGAGGATCCTCAACTTGTAATCTAATTTTTGAAGAATGTAGAATTCCAAAAGATAATCTTCTGGGTCAGCCTGGTGAAGGATTTAAAATAGCCATGGTAAGATTCTATAATCAAAGAGATACACATATGTGTATTTTTAGATACAGTATGAGTTTCTTTGCTTTATGAGAATAATATACAATATAGGTTTCTGCTTAATAAGAGCATTATTGTGAAACATTTTGTAAGCCAAAATGATACGACCAAAAAAAAGTAGTTTATTTATGGGGAAAGGCTGTAAACGTTCCTAAGTTTCAAGAAGCTATAGCAGCCATACCAAACATAAAATGATGATATTATATAGACCATCTAAATAAAAATAACATGATGCTATTTCAAAATTGAAAAAGAGAGTAAGCAGACTGGAAAATGTGAAGATTGTGGCAGTGGCATGATACACAGAGGTATCAAAGCTTTGGTTAATACAAGGGTTTTAGTACACTAAAGAAGAAAAAATGAAAACACCTATTAATATATAATCTCAATGTCTATCAGATTATTGTATCTGCAATTTCATGCCTTCCTGGCCCAGTGTCCGTAACTGAAATTTGGTACGCATTTGCTGATGTGAAAGGCTTAGAAATAAAAAAGTATGACTACTAAGATGATATTTTTTTTTAAATGTTCCACAAACAATTGAATCATGTTGTAAAACTATCATATATCAAATACTATATTGCTATTAGTCATACTTTACATTTGAAATCATTGCATAAAGCAAATGCTGAACTTGTACATTTTTGCTTTTCATCTTCTTATATAAAAGCAAATATCTTCAGATTTTTTCATCACCCAAAGAATTTACTAGTTTAAATCTTTCCATAAACTGAAATTATGTAGAGTGCATCTGAATATCTATATTTATTTATATAAATTCAACTTTTATTCATTGCAAAGAAGCTCCAAGCTTTGAGTCAAATAAGCAAGATAGAAATCATTTCCAAAGATATAAGTGCTTTTGAAAACTAGGGTTTTAAATACAATGCAAAATCCAAATCCTGGACATTCAATGTTCGGATCTCTGCCCCCCCCAGCAATTTTTTTTCTTTTTAGAATTTTTTTGCAAAAAGGGAGAAAGAATTAATTTCGAGTGTAACATCTTATTTTAGCACATGCTTCAGTGATGCGCAACAGGAATTTTTTCATAATAAAGCTCATGGAAGGCCCTCATTCTTAACTTCACTTCAACACCAAATAAAGCACTTCCATGTTGAACAAATGCAATCGTTTATTAGCATAAATCTGTGTGATCAATAATTTGGCTGCATAGCCACCTTTGCTCAGAGTACATCTCTAACTGAAACATTATGCTTACTTTTCCCCTTCATTTTACACCTGCTAAATAACTAATGATCCTGATGACAACCTACTAATTTTTTTTTTTTTTTTTTTAGCCCAAAGGGTATTAGCCTAGAAATGTTATTAATTTCGTTTTGGCATTTTGCGTCAAAAACTTTAAATGTCGCTTCACTTTTTAAATTATTGTCACTAAATATTAAGTTTTTTTATTATCAATTTCATATTCGGTAACACTTTAACGAATTTTGGGTTAACAAACTCAATGATTTCAAAGCAAGCAATGGCAAGCAACACTGTACGTGGGGGGGGGGGGAAACAGCGCTTAAAACAGTGTATGGGAAATTCTAAAGATATGCTGATTTTAAAATTATTTTGTGATATTGCTGTTGAATTGAATTTTATGGTTTAAGTGCAAAGAACATGGTACCTAATAAATAAAGATAACACACAAAACATTAAAAAAACACCTCTTTGGGCATTATATAAAATTTGAAAGCATTCAGATTTTTTTTTCTTTCATCATTATATGACTATCAACTCATGGCAGTTTGAAAAATGACCCATACAGCAATATCCAAAACAGTTTTTAAAAAGAAAATTAGTAATGGAATGGCAAACATCATTGTAACCTTATGTTGACAATATGCTTGGTGACGATTAGAGATGTCAGCCAACTGCACTGTGAAACAGAAATTTCTTTTCGTGCGCAAAAAATTTGTAAATTATATTCATAGCCCAAAAGATTACATTTGGTGCTGTTTGAATTAAGAATAACTGATTTGTTGTTTTGATAAACCTTATGTGTATAGGAGCATTTATTTATTTGGAACTCAGACAAGCTTTAAGCTTATACAGGAAATAGACATAAGCATAATAAATAACTAAACCAATATAAATCAGACTTCCTCAGCAAGCAAGATAAGCAAGACAAAATTAGCAGAAGAACATGCGTTTAGTTGCTAATCTCATGATAAATCAGCAGTAATTTATAGCAGTCTCTGGCTAAGCTTTATGATGATACATTTGAAGGTTTTTGAATATCGAAAAAAAATTCCAATTAATAGAATTTATGAAGATGATATAACAGTAGTGTTCCATTGTGATGACAGTAACCTAATAGTCAATTAACTAACAGACAACAAAATCTGTTATATGATTCTAAATTCAGAAAATATCACTACTGATAGCGAAAAAAGTAACAGAGAGGTTGTTGTGAATTAAAAAAAAAAAAAAGTGCTGATTAAAAATTTAGTGGGAATTATTGGCATGGCAGTTACAGACTTCAATAATACAACTTTTCGACTGAAATAGAAATAATGTCTGTCTATAAAATTCAAGAGAAAGTATTTGCACAAAAAGTAAAGCAACTTACATTTAAAGAAATGTTTAATAAAGCTAATAAATAAATATTAAGTTTCTTTTTTTCAAATTTTGATTCCCTTACAGTCATAAATGCTTCATTATTTCATAAACAAGTATTACATGTTTTAAACTTTAAAATTGCTGCATGTCACCTCATTAAGTCATTAAATTTAAATTGATGATATAAAACCTGAAAATTCTAAAATTTGAGAATTGCTAAAATCCCAAGAAGTCTGAATCTTTGATTTTGTACTCCGTATGCTCATTCCAAGTACATTCACTTCTCTTTTAGTTCAGAAATATACTTCCAGTCAAATTTCCATTAATGACATATGAGAATTTGTAACTTGCTGGTTCCTTTCCAGTATGGGAAAAGGATACAAAAGTAAACAATATGCAGGATTTTCACTCACCAAAAATTATGAAAGGTGAACGAAATGAAAAATAGTCAGGGAAAATATAAACTTTTTTTGAAAAGTCAGTTCTTAGTGCTTTAGTTTTACTTTGAAATACACATAAAAATAAGATTTATTATGACTGATGTTACTATTATGAGTTTATTTCAAAGATTTTTTTTTTTTTAAATTGAGTACTTTTTTGAATGGTTAGATACATATTTTCCTTTCTTTTGCTTTACAGTGATGAATGAAATAATGTTTTAATAATATTTTAGTTACTTTATTGTATTTTATAATAAATGGAAATTTATTCATTTATATGTACTTAATTTACTAATTTATCATATTTGGTCAGGGAAATTATTCAGTTTCATTGTAGAAAATGAAGAAAAATAAGAGAAATTAAAAGCTGAACTTCAATGGGAATTCCAAGTAAGGAAATTCAGAAGAAGCAGACATTTTCAAGCAAGAATATAGTCACTTTTAATAGCCAATAAATTGCATCTCAGTATAAGTAGAAAATGTCCAACTTCAAGAAGCAGCTCAAAAATCCCATCCGAAGAATTAAATTGCTAATACAAATTTAAAATGTTATAATTATTCATTTAATTAAAGCACATCTGAAAGGGCTATTTTTTTATTAATTTTCAGTTTTGAGAAATATTAATCAAAATTGATTGAAAAGCTATTTACAAAAATCAGATAATCATTTTTATTAATATGCTGCCATTTAGTTCTAAATATTTATTCTGTCAAACTATTTTATATGCAAGCTTTATTTTTGTCTTCTAAGGTACCTTAAAAATGTAAGGCTGTCTTTCATTTGGGAAATTTTATTACAGTAATTTTTAGTTAATAAAAAATAACAATTAAAAGTTTTATATATAAACATATATTGACTATAGACCAGACACATTTTATTCATTTTAGATGTCACTAGATGCTGGAAGAATAGGTATTGCTGGACAGGCTTTAGGCATTGCACAGGTAAGTCTTTGCTTTTAAAATGAATAAGAGGAAACAAATTTATAGACTTCATATATTTTACTTTGGGTATTGTTTAAGCCTTCAAATGGCAGTTTGTGTATATATGTTCAAAAATATTTGCCGTGATATCTTTAAGTACACAGACATGCATCTTGAAAATGTGTCTAGACAATATAAGCTAGTGTAAATATTGGAAAGAAAAAAGTCAAGGCATTAAGTAAGAGTGTTATTTTGGAACTATAATCAAGATTATCATTTACATGTGGTCTTTTTTTTTTAAATTAAAATTTGGGGGAAAATTCTTGGCCACTTGGATGATTAATGATGTTCATGCAATAAATCAAAACAAGAATGGTAAAAAATGCTAGAAAACCATGAAAAGAGGTATCAAGTACTTAATATGATGTAGGAGCATGTGCAGATTTAAAGCAGTTTGAATTCTTCTTAGAGAAGATAAATACAAATGCTGGTATCTTATATCATTTTTCATTCCTTGAGAAATATTACAAGATGGTAATGAAAATCTCATTTTGTTTAACAATACAGACTACTGTAGCTCATGTGCATGTCAGTCTAGTAAGACCAGAAAACGCATGCAGCTTCATCCTTCTAAAATCATGGATGGATATTCTTAATTTTATGTACTGAAGTATTGCCATTTTGAAAGATGTTGTCTCAAACAGAAAAATGTCTATGTTATAAAATGGAGATGGTTGCCCAAGTCACTGCTAGATATTCTTCCCTTTAAGGGGATAATTAGGACCTAATAAAAACCATGATACTTCCTAAAGCATAAAGGAAATCAAACTATGGTTAGTTAAAAGAGTTTGGGTTGTAAACTTTTACCAATATTCACTGTACAGAAACACATCTTGAAATCGAGAGGCAGTATAAAGATTGACTTTCTAGATTACAACACTATTTTCTATTAATCAGCATTTCACATTTCTATATTCCTGCCATCATCGTAATCTGTTTTGCATTTATTTGGAGTATGTGAGGTTTTTCAATAATAATAAATATTTTTTGCATTCAATTTCCTTTGCATTCTTAGAATTAAAAATTTTTTCTGTATAAATGCATATCAAACTCAGCAACCACAATTTTTACAGTGGCCTTCATATCTGAGTTAGCAATACTTTGCAATGTCTCCCTATCTGTGATGGCGAATTTCATTTTATTTTAACAGTTGTCTCTCAGTGATTATATTTTCTCTAATAATGGATTATTTTATTACTTTAGTTTAAATTATTTTATTACTTTAGTTTAGATTATTTTATTTTTAACTTTATTTTATTATTTTATTACTTTATATACTTATTGATACTCCCAGTAACTTTGCAAAAGATGTCACTAACTAACTAAATAGGTGCTTACAATGAACTAATTTTTTTCAAATCAGCTGAGGTCATAATGCACTTAAACACAACCTTGAAAATATAGGGGACAGGAAAATTATACAAACGAATGAGTTTCATGTTTAGCTTTGCAGTCAGCAGAAACAAAACTGATCTTTTTAAATAAGGATTTCTATCATTTTGTCAACTCTTGTACATGTATATGTGTGGGTGTGTAAATATGCATATACAATTAAATTCACCCAACTGTCATTACATTGCACACAGTAGTTATGACATCCTGAAATTTTCTCACAGAACTGCATTACCTTTTTTCCTATAATTTGGAGATTTAATTGATAATTTTTTCCACTTAATTTTTTTAAAAAGTGTAAAATAAATCCTCTTCAAATATGAATTGATATTACAGGCTGCATTGGATTGTGCTGTTCATTATGCTGCTCAAAGACAGGCTTTTGGATCACCTATTATAAAATTACAGGCAATTCAGGCAAGTATTGATTCTAGTTAATTTTTATGATCTTTTCATAAATTACAATAATGTTAATAAAATGTCACAATTCTTTCTTTAGTTGAAGTTAGCTGAAATGGAAATGAAAATAGAAGCAGCACGTTTATTAACTTGGAAAGCTGCATCATTAAAAGATGCTGGAGAAAAATTTACTAAGGTTTGATTTAGTGTAACTTTTTATACATTAAATAATATTTTATATTTTCACTATAAACTTTGTGAGAAGCAGCGAATTTTCTGAAAATTCATATTAATCGTATGCAGTAATTGATTTAGAAGTACAATACATAGTCCGAGATATGGACGTCCCAATATCAGTACTGATCTAAAATATAGACCTCAAAGCGCCAACAACTTTTCTTTTAATGCTTTACGCATGTAGATTTGATTTTTCCCCCATAAATAAAACATGCAAAGAGTACCAAATCTTAATTTCCCTTTAGCATTAAATAAATACCTCATTATTGAAGAAAAAATAATTTAGCATAAATTTTTGTGATCAATAATTTGGCTCTGTAGCTGCATATGCATGGCATATATCTCAAACCGAAACATTCTAGATAGAAACATAGTTGATTTTTTAGACCTACTATTTTATATCCCTGACACCAACCTGGTGAATCATTATTTATTATATTTTACTCTCATCATCACATGTTTATGAACATGTGACAACTTGAGTAATGACTCATGTAGCAAAGACCAAACAATTTTTTTTATATTAGTAATTTAATAAACAAAAGAGTATGTTAACCTTTTATGTTGGCATTATGCTTGGCAATAATTATAGATTTAAATGCGCTAAGAAATATTGACGAAGAAAAATTTCACAAAAATTTCTTTCCATATGCTAAAAATAGATTTTATTAATAATACTTATAGGCCAAGAGATTACATTTAGTGCTATTTCAATTAAGAATAACTTATTTGTTTTTCACATAAAGCCAGAACCGGCACCAGAGCTCATATGGCCGCACCAGGCGTCAGAATTTAGGGAAGACAAGATTTTGGGGATTTAGAGAAACATCGAGCAAGGAAATTAAGGCCTGAAAATATTTTTGGAATTCGGGAAAAGCACAGGGATAAAAAAATTTAGGGGTGGCAAAAATTTAGAACTTAGGGAGGTGCTTGGTTAACAGAATTTAGGACCCACAGAGACTATGCCATGCGATAAGATATCTAGTGCCGGCCCTCGTTAAGCCTTAAGTATATGTGAGAATTTATTTATTCAGGACTCGGATAAGCCTTGAGCATCACCAATCGTGTATAGCAGATGCTATTAAGCTAGACTAAAATTATACGTTACTGATTTCAAGCAATTTCAGTCAATATAGTAGACTTGCTGTTCCTTAACTTTCTGATTTGATCCAGCTTAATTTCTTTGGCAGGCTATTTTTATTACAGCAATTTTATGAAAATTTAAGTTTCAGCTTTTGACTTTGGAGCTGTAACAAGATCTACAAAGCAAAAGCATATTTTGCTGTCCATTAACCAAAAAGTGGATCCGTCTCAAAATTATGCGAGTGGTATGGCATTGGAAAGTCAACTGTATACAACATAAGAAAACAGAAAATTAAACTTTTTGAATTTTTTGTGGATTCCATCACCCGACTTGCAATAAATAACAGAAAAATTATTCCTTATGCTAAGTGATGACTGAATGGGTCAGACAGTTTCGCAGCGAGGCCATGCCATTGGCAGGTCAAATGTTAATGGCTCAAGCTAAAATATTTCACTAAGAAATAAACTTAAAAACTGAGTGCACATATTCAACAGGTTGGTTAACCAAATTAAAAAATCGGCATGGTATAAGGCAATTAAGAATTTCAGGTTAGAAAGCTTCAGGTGATACTGAAGCTGCTGAACTATTTGCAGATGAATTCATTGAACTCATTAAAGTTATCTCCAGAATACATTTACAACGCTGATGAAACTGGTCTTTTCTGGCAATATGGTACTGCAAAATACCTTGGGAACCTCTATAGAAAAGGCTGCAACTCATGTCAAAGATTCCAAAGCGAGACTAACAATTTTAGCACGTACAAATGCTGCAGGAATGCACAAGTGTAAACTTTTCATAATCGGAAAAAAGGCACGGCCTCGAGCATGTAAAAGGAGTAAAGAGTTTCCCATTATACATTGTGCAAATAAAAGAACATGGATGACACAAGTGTTAATGAATGGTTGTTTTGAAAATCATTTCATGTCCGAGGCTCAGTAGAATTCAGTTGGTTTACCTGATATGCAAAAATTGTCCTGATTTTAGACAACTGTTTGGCTCATACTTTACTTAAAATTTTAGTGAAAGATAATGTATCCGTATTATTCTTCCCTCCAAATTTTTTAAATGTGTATTAAATTTCTTCAATAATGGGAAAACTACTCAAGAATTTTTGAAATAGTTTAGTTTAAAATCTGCTTTGTGGAGTATTAATGGATTTTTTTAAAGAAATGTGGAGAAGCAATAATAATTAAGATGATATAGCAGAAGTTTTTCAGAAGTTTGCGATGACAATGCCCCAATCATCAATGAATTAACAGACGGCAAAATCTGTAATATGGTTTTAGATCCAGAAAATATCGCTACCGATAGTGAAAAAAATGACAAGAGAGGTTATTGAAAACGAAAAAATTTCAATTGACAAGTTAGTCAGAATTCTTGACACAGCAATTATAGTGGACATAGCAGTTATATTGAACAGTGGAAATTTGTAACTGAACAAGAAATTATGTCTGTTTATAGAATTAAAGAGAAAGTATTAGCACAAAAAACGAAGCAACTTAAACAACTTACATTTAAAGAATTGAATAAATAAATATTAAACTTTTTTTAATAAATTTTGTTACCCTTTAGATAAAAAAAATGTTTCATTATTTCATAAATCATGATTTCATATTTTTAATTTTATAATTTCTATGTGCTATCTTAACAAGATTTAAACTGATGATCTAATATCCGGAAAAATCTCAAATCCGGAATCGCCGAAGTCCCGACGAGTCCAGATCTCGGACTGTGTACCGTATTTGTTTTATAAGCACACTATCAGATAAAGCCTGAATGTGAAGCCTGCTATGATAAAATTTCTTGAAGTTCTTTCACACACAGTGTGAAAAATATATTCTGTATATGTTTTAAATAACTATTTAAATAGTATACCTGTAATAGTATACCTGTTTTAAATAGTGTACTATAATAAACATAATAATTTAGTATAATATATGCTTTATGTTTCCTTTGTTTTAGATGAAAATTCACCTAATAAACAATAATAATGCTTTAAAAGAACAGGCAAGTTGAAAATTCTTGAATATAAAAGTTTATTTATTCATTTATTTTATTTTTAGGAAGCTGCTATGGCAAAATTAGCAGCATCTGAAGCAGCCACATTTGTTTCTCATCAGGTAAGTTCCTATTTTAAATACTCTTTAACAGAATTGCCAACTTTCCCAATTTAGGCGGGAGACTCCCGATTTTCGACCACTCTCCCGCCAACCCGATTTACAACATATTTCTCCCGACTTTTTCTTATTCTTAAAATTTCTCATGATATTTATGGAACTTGGCTTAATACTTCGTTATATGAACAAAAAAAAAAAAAAAAAAAAAAAGAAAAAGAAAGTGATTTTGGACATTTGAAAGCAATTGAATTTTCTCTAGATTATATCTAAAACAAAACCTTGTGAATCAGATGAGAATTTCTGCTTTGTGAGTGAGGAACATCGTTCTCCAATGGTCATCGAGCTCCACTGCATGTCATCTGGCATATATTAACCAATGAGCACAAAGCAAGCTCAAGGCTGTTATTTGGATGTTCTTTAGTTATTTCATTCATCTTGTTCTGAGTTGTGTGAGTACACGTGTCTTCGGGAAATAGTTTTAGAAATTATCATCTTTTGTTATGTCTGCGAGAAAGGCGAAATATTCCTGTACGTTTAAAAAATAGTACACAGTTGACTTTCCTTCCATTATTTCCTCTAGGAAATGTAATAAATTTGCAATGAGTACCGTCTGTCGTTGCGATTTTTCGATTTCACATGGTGGAAGGGCGGATGTTCTCAATCATGTGTGTACACAAGAACAGCGTGAGTTGTTTTGGGGGGGGGGGAAAAAATGAAAAATTAAATTTTTCTTTGGAAACAAAGGACCAAAAAGTTATTAATGCAGAATGTCTGTTTTCTGCCTTTTTACTGGAACACAACCTGCCACTGAATGCATAGGAACACGCTGCAGCTTTATTTAGAAAAATGTTTCCCAATTGTGAAATTGGTAAGAAATACTCAATTGCAAGGACCAAAACAGTTGCAATTGTTAAAGAAATTGGTTTGAAAAATAAATCTTCAGTTATTGATTGCATTAAAACAGCTCCGTTCTGCCTCTGTACGGATGGAAGCAATAATACTGATTCAAAACTGTATCCAATTGTTTTCTTTTTTTTATCCAGAGTCTTCAGAAATTGAGTGCAGTTTACTTTCTGCCCCCACTTTAGAAGGACATTCGACAGGCTTTAATATAGCACAGCTAATTATTAAAACTTTAAAAGAAAATGCAGTCCTTCTGGATAATTGCTTAGCACTTGGTGTCGATAATGCACCAATAATGGTAGGCTTGAAGACTGGTGTTGCAGGCATCTTAAGAAAGGAAAATTCAGATTTGCAGATTATGAGGTGCAGCTGTCACCTCTTAAATTTAGCAGCTGAAAAAGGGGCAGCTTCTTTACTAATAAATGTGGATGAAACATTGTTGATATTTATTATTATCTTGAAAAGAGTTCTAAAAGGAAGGAAAAATTAAAACAGTTCCAACAGCTGCATAATACTGAAATGAGAAAAATTTTGAAATATGTGTGTACACGCTGGCTGTCTTTAAAGAAATGCTTATCTAGAATCCTCAATCAATGGAACCTTCTTGCATTTTTTAAAGAAGTAAATTCTTCGAGAGTTAAGATAAAACGCTCTATTGAAAGTTATACAATGGAAAAGTAAATGGAGATGTAGTTACTACTTCCATTGTTAAAAATAGGTTTGAGAAAAATAAAGTAATTTCTGCACCATTCAGCAATTCAACTGGCAGTTCTCAAAATAATACTGCAAAATATAAACATAAAGATGATACAAATTTCTCTCAAAATAAAAAAAATTGCTCAACACATGAAACATTTTCCGATTACTGTAAGTTTAGCTAAGCAAAAATCTGCCACTGTTCATAAGATTTGTACAAAAACTGATTAAAGTATCTTTTTGTTTTCTTAAATGATGCAAGTAATAAAAATGTTTTTTATGTGTAAGGTATTTTTGTGTTGCTTGCATTTAAGAATTAGTAACTATTTAAAGTTAGTTCATTTTTAAAAACTATATTTTTATCATTTTATGAAAAAACTCCCGATTTCTTAAAAATCCTGATTTTTGAGTGTCATAGGTTGGCAAGTATGCTTTAAATATGAGAACAGTTGCTGATGGTATTCTGTAAAAAGTGATACAAAATTTTCCCTTCAGTTGCAGTTGTGTTCATTAAGGCAGAAACTAGCATAAGGACAATTATTCTGTTTAAACTGATTCAAAATGTAGAATCAATTGACCAACCAAGTTAAAGATGCCTTACTGCTGCTTTGCTGTGTCATTTAAATTAAACTGATATTATTTCAAGGATTTTTCCAGATACTGCAGCTGAAAATATTACACTGGGAGGATTTCTCAGTGTAATTTTTTCAACTTCAGTTTCAGGATTTCTCATTGAAGAATATCTAATTTTTGCTTCATAACCCTAGCAACATGAGGAGTACATTCTTGTGCAGTAGAATGTATGCCTCATGTTGCCAATGTTATATTTATAGAGATTACCAAAATGTTTTGTCCTAGCTGCTCGCTGCAGCTGAAAGACCTGAAATGCACACTACAGCTGACAAATAAACATCAATTGCTGATACAGACAAATAAACATCAATTGCTTTAAGTTCTACTCCCAGAAAAGAATAACTGCAGATTACTCTGCTTATGACACACACAAAGAAACAAGGATGCTATCAGTTCATGTACCATACATTACACATAATTCTGACTGCAACAAATAATTTACCAACTATACAATTCTATTATGGCTCTTATACAATCAATTCCTGCTATAACCAACTTCAAGAGATTAAAAGTTTGATTTGTTATATCTGATACGATAAGAAAAATGGGTTAAGTCATAAAAAAGACATCCAAATTTACTGAATCAAAAAGAAAATAATAGTCATTATTACATCTATTAAAAAAAATTAAAGAATCATAGTAAGGGCTTATGTTCAGTTATTAAGTTTGTTTTTGCTCTTTTTCAGTTTCACCATTCATGTAATTTTATATGATAAATTACTTCGCATAAAAGGTCTTGGTTCATACTCTTCCTTCAAAATACATATTTCCTTCTAAACATCCAAATTTCCTGCCAGTGCACAATAGAATGCGTTAATGCAAAACTTCCACTTAGAAGACTTGACTGAATTTTCTTTTGATCTAGTACATAAAAAACTAAGAGTTTAAAATACCATATCAAAACACTCCGACAAGAATATAAAATTCCTGTTTCATTACAGTCAAATTATGCACAGCCCCACGCTCACAAAAACTTACTTTTCCTTATCATTTTTCTTCAATTGCAAGAATAGCAAACTTGGCATAATTTGAGTCATAGCATAGAAACATGGGAAAAAAATTGGTCATTTCTGAAAATGTCCGATTTTGTGTCAGAATACCCTATGTTAAAACAATGCTATATATAAATCTAATATATAGCCCAAGTTGCACTTTCAAGACGGGACATGAAAAATGCAAGTTAAATTTGGCCACTTGGCCCAATGGAATGGGAGATATCTTTTTTTGTGTGTGTATGTATGAGTGAGTGAGGTGGGTTTACATATACAAGTTTTCTTCATTAGTACACTGTCTATGTTTTTGCAGCCTTTGTAAATTTAGAAAACTGGCACTGAAATTACTTACAGTAACGAGAGATGATGAACTGTGTCTAGATAAATGATGCTTGAGTTCCAAATACACTTACTTACAGTGTAGTAGGTTATAATTTTTTTGCACACAGGAACATGGCTAAAAAATTAAGAAATCTTTGTCATCTTAAATGGTATAGGATTTAAATTGATGAGGATCAATTTCCAAACTTTGAAGGAATTTGTGGCCAGCTGATAGAATTAGTGCTTTATATCTTCCAATAATAAATAATTTTTTCAAAGCAATAGATTTTAAGACCATTTCTCTGCTATACACAGTAATGATGATAAACAAGTTATTTTGCTCTTCATGTTAACATACTAAAAATGTCTTTAAAGAACAGACAAGCTGTGAAAGCACATTTAACAGGAACTATTTAAAAGTTAACATTCTCAGTTAACATCTGCTGTATGATGCAAAAAGTCTTGCGCATTTCAGCTGACTATGAACACCATTAAAAAAACCCAAGTTCCTCCAACATCAAGTTTCTTGTGTCTCTCACTAAAGTGCTATCATTTGCAAAAAAAAAAAAAAAAAAAAACTTCATACCTGTTAACACGCTGAAATCTTGTGTTGCTTGTTGTTTAGAAATTTACTGTTTCTAAAACAATCAGTATTATTATTTTTAATCTTTTTTATTTGCAACAGTGTTTATACTGAATATTAATTTTAAAAATATTTAATTTATTGCTTCTGAATTGTGTAGTTTTGGTGAGTAATATTTCTGCATCCAATTGAAATAATTATTATAATGTTCAAAGCTTTGGAGGGGAGGATGTTAGCTGCACATACAAATTAACATGAAAAATTCCTTTGATAAATGCTCAGCTTTTTTTCTCTTTTTGTCAACACATCTCCTGCATTATTTCTCATTAAATATTCAAGCACATATTTTCCTTTAATGTTTTTTTTTTTTTTTACACAACTTGGTTTCTCAATGCTTTTCACAACTGACCTTTCTTGAAAATTCACTAGTATGCTGCTGCACAAATAAAAACAATTTGTGTTTGTCACCTGAAACATTCCCTTGCTATATACTTAGAAAATAAAAAAGAAACAAGAACTTATTCCATAGTTTGCAACATGACTGAATAGGTTGAGTGAGATGAGTGGTGCAACACAAGCGAATAGATACACATAAGAGAAAGACAAACTTGAAACAACATGTGGCAAGTCGCTGGATGGTAAATGTTGCAAATTAATACGTACTTTTCACCAATTTTTGTTAAAGAAATTCATAAATCATATTTTATAATCATTAATACTGGTAAATTTCACATTTGCCGTTATTAACAAAAATTACATCTAATTATTAGTTGTGGTACCTCTTCATTATGTGCAGTGTTCTAAATATACGACAGATTAGTTTTCTTCTGCTATATAGGCATACTTTTTTTTAGCATGACTTACTCTTAAAATTAACACCATCTATATTATCTTGCCTGTGAACTTTATCATTCATTAGTATTCAGAATGAAACTCAGAAAAGGTCACATGTGTATTCTTCCATACTAGGAATTTTAAAGGATAATTAAATATCCATGGTTCTTGCTTGGATTTTGAAGAATAATTAATATGAAGTTTTTTCCGTACATTTTATATTACATAAAATGTCAAAAATAATCAACTGAAATACAAATTATGAAATAAGAAAATATGAGTTTTTTTATATGTTGGATGTTTATGCGAAAATTTTGGAAATCGCTTGAAATTTGAGGATATAATTCCTTCATGTTAAATTCATGCTGTAATAGGCATCTATGAAGGTATAATAATTAAATTGAAACTAATATTTTTGTATTAGGTTAAATTCCCAGTGATTTATATTCACACTTATTCAAATTTGTCTCGCTCTTTACGATATATTTATTTGCTGTGATATATTTGCAGTAAATTAGAATGTTGTTAAAGTATATAAATTTTGGTTATTGAAAATTTCCGAATTAATTTTGCTTTTTATAATATGATCAAATATATGATCATAATATGAGAAATATTTACATTACATTTGCAATTCCTCCTCACTGTGTTCAGTTTAAATTCTTAAATATAGTCAGAAAACTAAATGTTTATAAAAACTAGTTGAAATTATTAACAAGTTATTAACCTTATTCCTCTTTCTTTCATTCTGAAGTGGAACTAAAGTTGATATTAATAACCATTTTTTATAGGCAATTCAAGTATTAGGTGGAATGGGTTATGTTTCAGATATGCCAGCTGAGCGACATTACAGAGATGCTCGTATAACAGAAATCTATGAAGGTACAAGTGAAATTCAGAGGCTTGTGATTGCTAACAACCTCATCAAAGAATATGGGCTAAACTAAGTACAAAGAATCACTACAACACAAAAGTGCCAAGAAATGAAATGACAATTTTTGTATTTGAAGTATTTTTATATTTTGTAATAAAGTAAATTTACATATTATGTTACATGATTGCTTTTATAACTTTATACAAACTTTACAAAACTTCAGCATTTGATGCAAGATCACTGTCAACTTCAATTGAAACAATATGATGACCAGGAACCATTGCCAGGCCAAGTACACGTGGTTCTTCAACAGATTCATCATCTTAAAAAATAAACTATGCTATAAAATTTCTTTTATATTCTCACACACATTAAAAAAATAATATATAGATTAAACTGGTGAATAATTATTAACAATGAGATTGTGTAGCTGCTGCAAGAATATAAAAACCTGCACAGCTTATGATTCAAGATTATGCAAATTTTAGTTTTGCGGATATTGGGTCATAAATGAAAAATCTCTAGACTTGGATTAAAAAAGAATAAATCAAGAAAGCACATTTCTTTCTTTTCAATATTTTTATAAACAAATATATATTGAATATAATTTCATACAAAAAGGAAAAGGATAAAATGCATATTTTTTAAAAAAAATTTGAAGCATTTGTTTATAATAGTTTGTTTTAAAATTGAAGAATATTTTTTACTCCCTTCCCCAAATTATTCAGGGTCATTATTTTCCAATCAGTGTTATTGTTCAACAGAAATCATTATTTATTACCTGCTGGAAAACTTGAAATTTATTTAGAAATTGCCATTCTGTATGACAAAGTACTGTTTTTTTATAATAAAAATTTTAAAATCTGTGTTCAAACCTTTTAGATTAAGACACAATAACACGCCGAATAAATACTAATTCAGAAGTCAAACAACAAAAATCAGCGTTAATGTACAAAAATTTTTTTACATTTTTTACTTTGTACATTTTGTACATTAACGCTGATTTTTGTTGTTTGACTTCTGAATTAGCTTTTAGATTATATCAACATTAAAAATTATGGATACTGTACTATTTTGGCTGCATTGCCATTCTGTGCTATGTTAACATTAAAATGTAACTTCATCTTCTGGTTGTTTGAACAAAGTTTTTCATTATGGATAATACAATTTTCTGGAAAGAATTTCATGCCAAATTTCCATCTAAGTTCCTCATTAAAACCTATGTGTTTAGATCAAAACACAATGAATTATAATGCTTGCAACAGCCACTGCTCTGTATATTGTTACCGCTGCCATATTTATGGACATGTGGACTACTGTTCCATTAGTGGCAGATTTAAGAAATTTTGCTTAACTATTTGGAGAAGAGGAAGAAGCTTTGCTGATACTATGGAGATGAAGATGGCTGCAAACAATTTCACTCTATAGAAAGAGTGGAATTTTGTTACTACTCCTAATTTACAAAAAAAAAAAAAAAAAAAAACATAATTTCGAAATATTAAATAATTATTCCCTTTATTCATAGCTTAATTTACAGCTGCCAACCTTAAAATATGAGAAACTGGGGCATTCTCTCATGAAAAATATTAAAACTATTTAAACAGGTTTTTCTGGGAGGTTTTCATGTTGTGTAATGATGCAATTTCAAAAGAACTCTAAACTGACTTGAATTCACTTTATAACGAATAATTCCATATTATTGAATTATTGTAAAATATATTAATTCCTTGACATAAGAATAAAACTCAACTCGTAGATGATCTGCTTGAAAGTTGCTGCGACAAATAGTTGCACTGTAAAAAAAATGTCTTAAGTCTGTTCTTAGCTTAATGATAGATGTCACTGTAAATAAACATTACATAGTACATTTGGAGAGTATCAAACATTAATAATAAATGAGGCATCAAAGACTCAACTGTATGTCAACTTAATTATATATTCTAAATTTCATGGTTTTTTATGAACCCTGAGTAGCATGATCTCCTTTATATGTTCATGGGATGTTTTGTCACTTGGTATATATTTGATTACAATTTAAAACATTTTGCTTTCTTACTTTTTTTTAATAATATAGGTATAATCTTAATGAATGAGTGTTTATGAAAACAAAGATTACAATTTAGAATTCTATAAGAGTTTAGCTTATAGAAGCTGTTTAAACACAGGTCTTCATGATCAGATCTAAAAAGTCATGCCATTCAGAGGGTTAATTTATTCTGTAATACTTTTAGTCAGAGAAAGTCCTGAGTTTGGGAAGGAGAACTTTCACATCAAGAAGTATTTTTAAATATGATGAAAATAAAATTTAATAATTACTGTACATACTACTATATGGATAAATTTAGTAAGGTACCATGTATTGATGTAAAAGAAAATTAAATATAAATATTAACTGATTATACATTGGCTGAATCTTCATAAAATATTCTTCAAATTCCTATTGGCAGTTTCAGACAATTCAGATCAAGTAAAATTTAGCAGAAAATCACTAGGGAGAATGGAATTTGCACAATATAATTCAATAAATTTGGCTGGAAGTATTTTCCTTGTAAAAACTATAAATTAAAAATCGGGAGATCCTGTGATCTACTGGGAGAGTCAGCATTTATGTTAACTACTCAGCTTATTAATATATGTAATTGATTAATGTATAATATGCAAAACTTGACTTGGGTGATTATATTAGATAAATCCATAAATCTCTATCATATATTTCTCTCTCACTATTATGTGATTGTTACAGTAGAAAATAAAATTTCTTGCAAGAGATAACCTAGAATTATTTTAATCTGATGTGTCTATTCAAATATTAAACACTGTTTACTATTGGTGAAAAATATTTCTTCAAAAATAAAGAAACTAAGAAAAAAAGTTTCGAAGTTTTTTTTTTTTTTTTGTTTTTTTTTTTTTGTTTGTTTAAATGATGATCTTTTTTGTGAAAAGAATCAATCTGTATTACATGGATTTGATAACTGCCAAGTGATGAACAGCCCATAATTAAATTTTCCCAGTTATTGTCAGTACTAAAAGATTACATTTCACAAAATGAAACTATAATTTACTGCTACTGGAACACCAAAATAGCAATGCATCAGAAGAAAGTTTACGGATTACGTAAAAGCTTACATTGGTAGAATTCTGTCAGGTGCAACTAAAGTCACTTCATAACTGTTGACTGTATGGATAAATATATATTGAATTAGATTTTTTCCTAACCCTCAGTAAAGTTTGATGGTTCTAACATAAGTCACTGAATGGAGCAAAAATCTCCTACTCGGAGAACGCCATATCCTTTGACCCAATGGTTATTCCAGCAGGATCTGCCATGAATCAACTGTACATGAATTGAAACACTCATTAATTATTTTATGAGTTTCAAATAAACGCATATTTTTTAATTTATTACTAATAAGTTTTTTAAAAAAATTTTCCCTTGAAATTAATTTGATATTATCATAATTGAATATCTCTACTACATATGAATTTTCAATACATTACTTTTTACGTCTTTCATTAAAGAAGATATACAATTGTAATCATCTAGTATAAATCATGAGACAATTCCATAAAATGTTTACTAAAATGTAACCTTTATTTTAAAGTTATTCTAAGAATCACTGCATGATATGATTACTGAAATTTTTTATAATTGCACTTTTGTAAAAATAAATAAATAAATAAATAAACCATAACTTTAGGCTCGAATTACGTATGTTTGTCTGATATGTATAAAGACAGGAACACTAACTCACATATGAGGTTTTACTGGCAGTGAACATTTATATTTTATTTAGTTCTAAATTTTAAGAGTACTAAAAGTTATAGCCTTAGAGTATTTTATTTAGAAAGCTCAGCAGTTTAACTTATTTAGGTTCAGATGTTAATATAAAAATGCTGTCATATCAGAAATTCGAAAAAGACTCACTGCAGCTGAAGTTTCTCCCTAAATCAGATTTAATTAAATGTAGAACTCAGATTTATTCAGCAAAGTTTTAATTAGGCCTATGCTTTGTTATGTTTCAGAAAACTGGGTTATGAGCTTAGGGAATAATATTCTGAAAATCTTTAAGCTAGATTTACAGATTCAGATAAACTGAGTATAGTGAAGAAAATGGAATTATGCATTGCACCAATGGTAAAAGAAAAGATTTAGGATAGATTTACAGATTCAGATAAATTGAATATACTGAAGAAAACTCAATTATGCATTGTACCAATTACATAAGGAGCCAGACACTGCCAAGTAATTTATGGAGATTGAAATGTTTCTGGTCATTAGTTCAAATGTCCCAAGTAAGAGACGCAATATATTTTGACTTGAACTTAAGCTCAAAAGCACAGTGAGTAGATGAAGATTAACATTTTGATTATGAAGAATTGTCAAACATTGTTGGACAAAAAGAATACTCATTTTGAGAAAGCCAAAGCTTGGAAAGGCTATCATACTGCTGAAAATGCTATTTTATATAATGCACCTAGTATAATTCTTTTATCAAGCAAAACTAAAAGCAAAACTATTGTTTTAAATTTCTCCTTATAATAAAAACTAAGGAATTTCAAAAGTTAAAACATTTTAATAACTTTGCTATCAATCTGGCTTAAAAATGTGGTTTAATACAACTCTCCATAAACAGATGCAATAAGCAGTGCCTCTCAGATGGTTAATGGTTAAAACCCATAGCAACATATTCAATATCTTATAATATAACTATTTTTGTAAAAGTTAACTGCTTCATAGGATATATAATTTGAAAGACATCAGTTTTATACAATAAGTGCATAAAAATAGCTTACTTTCTGTCTGTAAATATTCAGCACATGAACCTAGAATTACATTACGATCTCTATCAGTGCAAAGAAATATTCCAATAAGGATTCTTCCGTCAGTCATTTCAATTTTCATATTTTTGTTCAACCAGCTTTCCAATCGTTGTCTTAATGCTGACTTGGGCTGAACATTTTCCTATTATAAATAAATACAAAGAAAGTTTCTTATATTGTAAAAATTTGTGCTTGAATATTGAATAAAATGTACACATTTTAAATGCAGAAACAAATATTTAATTTTTTAAAAGTAAATGAAATGTTGAACTGCACATAGAACCATTAGCTATACAGTCAGGAAAGTAACTTCATCACAGCATGAATTTGTGTGAGTTTTTTGTAAAGGATTTTCTTAAGCTTTGCAAATATCAAATTTTTCAATAAATTTCAGATTACTTTCATTATTTTTTTACCTTGCATCTGAAGAGTTATAATTTTTTTTATTATTATTTAAATAACTAATATTTTTCACTACGCTTTATGAATAAAAAGTGCTCTGCCAAAAACTTTTGAATCTTTTAGTTTTGCTGAATTCCAAGAGTTCTAGAAAAGGTAATTTTTTAAAATAAAAGTAGCTTTCTTTTGTTTTCCATCGTCAACCAGAGTTTGGATATAGAATAATTCCCTTTTTTTTTTTTTTTTTTTTTTTTTTTTTTTTTCTACATTTAAATGTATGCACTTTATAGGACAGAAATCTATGCATGCACACAATATAAGTATATTTAATTATTTCTTATTAGCTATTAAATGTATATGCACTATCTATTTAATAGAATTTTTCATCTTGAATAGCAGCATTGATTACTGCAGAATTTGTCAAATTATAAAATGCATAATATAATAATTATTTCATTACTGATTCGTTATTTTTATTATTGCCACATAACTAGAATTTTTTTCCTTTCCTTTTTTTCCCAGGAAATGTTAAGGTCAATCTTCAGCAGTTGCAAAAATATTGATATAAATCCCAGGTTACAAGTATTTTGTGAAAGGTACTATTTGATTATCCACACCCCCATCGAAAAGCCATTGTAAAATATCCATGAGGAAACACATCATGTTGCCAAAAAGTATTTATGTCATCAAAAAGCAACCCAGATATGCATGTTGCACATATGCTTGAATACACATGAATTTACACTTTTGAAATTCAATGCTTTTTTTTCTGATTAGTTTTCCTCCCATAAAGTCTATTTATTTTTATCACAACAAAACATAATGGAATTGGAGAACTTGCCCTCTGTTAATTTCTTTATGAAGTTTTAACAATTCTTGGATAATCCATGGCTGGTGCACAATGTAGAGTTTATGCAATTCTCTGATTCTTTTTAAAGGAAAATAAGGCACTGCATATATGAAGAGAAACAAGAGCCCAAAGAAATTACAGTATTTCTCAGAAAAGGTGAGTGTCGTTTTCTTTTAATGAATATAAAAAATAGTTTGCATCATTGAAATAGAAGTAAAGATGCCAAACAAACATTTCTGTCTGAATTCACAAAGAGTTTGCGAGTGCTCGATGGGGGTGCCAGATAATAAAAGAGAGCCCTGTGAAATTTCATGATTTATCCTACTATATTAATTACCATTTTTAAGATCATACAATTTATTGCACCACATGAACTACGATTTTCTTCCCGATAAAGTTTAAGTAAATAAAGATTTTTATTATTATTATTATGGAATAGTTATACAGAATTTATAGAAATTGCATAGTTTCAAAGATATGTTACTCCATAAAAATGATCTAGTGACTCCCATATTATAATATGAAATCTACACATCATATGTAAATACACTTTTTCTTCATGTCATACTATGAAATTAAATCTATGCATCATATGTAAATACAGACCCCCTTTTTTTACAGATACAAAGCATGAACTTTTTATTAGTCAAATTGTGCTTTGCGACGTTGCTGACGAGCTCTCTGGGTGCAGACCAATCCACTTTTTGGCCTGTGTTGTTGAAGTAAATCCACTTTTCATCACAAGTGATGATCCAGTCCAGAATTTTGACCTTGTGCTGATACTCGAGCAGATTAGTGCAGATTCGAACATGTCTGTCCTTATCTGCTTGAGTCAGCTCCTACGGCATCCAGCAATTCAACTTGTACATCAAGTTGATGCGATGCATATCACGACTAATGGACATGGCACTAATGTCTAACTCCTTCGCAAACTCTCGAGTGTTGCATACTGATCTTCTTCCAAAGTTCTCGCAGGCTGCCGTCATCAACATCAATAGGTCAGCCCAAGCACTCTGCTTCTTGAATGTCAAGGTCCTTGTTTTTCAACTTTTGGTACCAAACCTTCACAGTGTTCTATGATACAACATTAGCACTTGAAGCTGTACACATGATTAGGTGACATTCTGTAGCTGACTTTTTGCAACATCGTATTTTTTATGACATCTGTTATGCCGTTTTTGGCACGAAAAATACAGAAATGAGTTAATATTGATAATAAATTTGTTAAAACATAAAGCATTAACCTTATTATTGCAAAATACAAATGATGTCACATTCAAATGACAGTAAATTATTTTTAAATGCTTATATTAGTCAGGTGGAAAAGCAATGATGTATTTCTTTATAGAAATTTAAAAATTTATTATTATTAATACTATTTTAAATTCCATTAAGCTTGCAATGAGAGCTTTTCTATTAATATTATCAAAGGCAGTTTTGAAATCAATAAAGATGTGGTGAGTATTGATTCCAAATTCTTTTATCTTTTACATAATCTGTCAAACGTTAAATATTTGCTCTATGGTAGATCTTCCCTTTCTAAAGCCACTTTGACAGTCTCTAATTGTTCTTTCCATAAGTACAGAAAATATATTAAATAGAATGTTTTAGAATACTTTATAACTTGAAGCATGCTGATTCCTTAGAACATTCAAGTATATCTCCTATCTTGTGTATTACATAAGTTACACTCAATTTCCATTTCTCTAGTATCATTTCTTGATCTCATATTGCCTGCATTACACCACATTATTTCTTAGAAAATTCTATTCCACAATTTTTCAGTAACTCAGCCGGAATAGCATCAGAATCAGGTGCTTTATTGTCTTTTAGCTCATTAATTCCTTCAACAACTTTTTTCAATGACTGTCAAGCAACCTCATCTTGGCTGCAGGTTACTGAGCTTTCTGTGATGGCCCCATATTCTTAATTATCACAATTCAGCAAGCCATTGAAATGTTCACCCCATCTCTTCAGCACCTCAAAATGATTCCCTCCTTATTACGACATGAGGAGGTCTTTAGTTAATTTCTTGAAAAAAAGCCCTGCTTTCATTGGATCTCCTCAAATATTCAACATTTTAAAAAGATCTTTGAAAAAATTCCTCTCTTTCATCTTATGAATCCTTTTCTCTTCTCTTCTAGCATTTTGATATGCAATCATAGCATTCTTTGAATGCCTCTTGCTCAGCATTAAATATGCTTCATTTAAATAAAAAAAAAAAAAAAAAAAAAAAAAAAAAAAACATTCATTAGGAAACCAGTCCTTCTTTTTCATTCTCTTAATCTTTTCCACAACTTGGTAACTTGTTTCAATGATAACATCCCTTAATTTATTCCATTTAAAGTTATTACTTTCTTCACCATACAAATCGTTAATCTCTTCAAGTTTATTTTATGCTTCTGGAATTTAACTTAGTCAACTCACATTTGAGCTGATTACAATCATATTTCTCCACAAATTTTGCATTTTTTAAAATTTAAAGTTAGAAATCCATGCTCTAACCTTTACCATAACAAAAAAATGATCAGAATCCAGATTGGCACCACTATATGTTTTCACATCTAGTATATCTGACATATGCCTTGAATCAATAAAAAAATGATTGAATGTGTCTCCATCAGGAGAGCTCTATGTCATTTTATGTATCTTTTTATGTTGGAACATAGTGCTTGCTATGTTCATATTACGATCTTCCGCAAAATCAATAAGTTGCTTGCCATTTTCATTATCAATTTTATTACATTTGTCCCAAAATTTTATTACATTTGTCCCAATTTTATTACATGTGTTCTTCACGTATAAAAAATCATGAAACTGCACAAAGGTGACTGCACTAATACATAAAGGCTGATCTTTACTGTACAGTCTCCCTTGATTTCTGTCTGAAAAAATTGCCAAGTGGTATTGATTGCTCGTGAAATCTGGAAGCCTGCTGCATAAAATAGGTTTTCCAGTAACCCTAATGTTGGCAAAACTAGCTTAGAGGAAAATTGTGGGGTTTTTTTAGTTTTTGTCATTAAAAAGGGGTTATTTCTGCAAATATTGCCAAAGGTGTGATAAATTTAGATTTTGGCTATTTTTTATAATAGTAACCTTTTTGTATGGACCCGGGTTTGGTTTTCAGCTGCGTTTGCTTCCACATGCATGGTATGGTCTTGGATTTTGAACTTGTTATTATTTTGCTGTGGGTACCATCATTTGAGTATGTCTGAGATGGGTAAGAGGATGAATGTTGATTAACAGTGAATGAGCTGAAGCGACAAAATATTTAATTGAATTGCTTACGTGGAGATTGGAGGAGATGGTGGTGGGAAGCATGAATGTATGCACGTGAAAAAAAGGTATGTTCAAAAATTGACGTTTTATTTACTTTTTTGCCTCTGAGTGTTAATTTTTGTTAAAAGATTTAATGTTTTCATGTTTTAGTTATTTATTACTTTATTACTATTTATTTTTACATGTTTATTTATTTATTGCATGTTTTAGTTTTTTAGTTATTTATTACTCTCTGTTTGTGTATTTTCGGTTATTTGTTCGTCTCTGTGTGTTAAGACAGTGGCGAATTTTTTTTGGTTAACTTGATAGTTTTAACTTTGTTTTAGCTTCCTGATTTTGTTAAGCGAAAATAGATTGATGTGTACATGGACAAAGTTAAGGCAGTGTGCAATGCCTAGTTTGTGCAATTCTCTGATATTTTGGAAGTTAAAATAGGTCAATGTGTACATGGACACCGAGTTTGTGTAAGTCGTTGACTTCTTGGTTTGGTTTTGTGTGCTGATCCTTCCTCATGCCGATTTTGTATCAAAAAAGAGACATTTCGCCAAGGTACTGCAGAGTAAATTTTAACCACACATAAATACTATCTAGTTAATTACAGAAGTAACTACAAAAAATAAGTTACGTCATTAGAGGTTTACTGTAATTGATTCAGTGCAGCATTTTATGAAGGACAACTGATCAATATTTTAATGACATCCTGAAGTTCTGAAATGTCCTTTTTCATCTGATGTACATCATATTAATTTACATTTAACCACATAACAGAATCGTACTTTCCTTAAGGCAGGCCAATACCTTGAATACATTCTTTGTTATATTTTATTTGGATGTTAGCATATTTTAAGTGAGGAAACATTCCGCAGAAGTAAGCACCATACACACGAGTTACCAGATCCTTGAGATTTATACAAACAATCCTGGATTTGTTATTAAGTCCGCTGTTATATCTTAGATTGATAAAAGTGAGTGATTTATAAATGAGGGGTTATAAAAATTGTAGGCTAACATATTAATTTACAGAAAATTGGAAGGGGAGCCCATGAAATATAAATATTTTTTATAGAAATGCAGACATTTTCAAAAAAAAAAAAAAAAAAAAGTAATTAACATCTATCTTCACAATAAACCTGCTGCGAAATGTATGTAATCAACCTATTTATATTTGAATACTTCGTTGATTTAACCCGTAACTGGGAAGGTGCGGTCTATTATGATCTAAAGGGTATCAAAATTTACAAAAAAAAAAAAAGCTTAATATTTTATTATTTATTTGTTTACTTTATTAAACATTTCTTTCAATGTAAGTTGTTTAAGTTGCTTCGTTTTATGTGATAATACTTTCTCTTTAATTCTATAAACAGACATAATTTCTTCTTCAGTTACAAAGTTCCGTTGTTCAAGTCCTATAATTGCTGTGTCGAGAATACCGACTAATTTGTCAATCGAAATTTTTTCGTTTTCAATAACCTCCTCACTATCGGAAGCAAATTATAATGACGAGGAATTTGATTTAAATCATATCAAAGACGGAGTACATCGAGATGAAATACTACATTTAGTAAGGAATTATAAGCCAAATAAAATAAAAACATCTGCCCTGAAGATAAGGATAGTGCTGACAGATCAACTTCCAATTCATTGTGCACCGCGGCGTTAAAGATAAACAAAGTTTAGATAAACAAATGTTAAAGTTTAGATAAACAAAGGATATGCCTTTATCCATTTTTTGCAGGAATTCCACTTTTTGTTTAATAGACTTCGAAACATACTTTCGCTTTGTAGATCCTTTACATATTAGTTATATCAGAAATTCTATTTGACATAATCGAAAGTTCAAGTTTACTTTTATAAAATTGCTCTAACAGTCTGCAAAAAATAAAAGCCGGATCCAATTCGAAGATTAAGGTACAACACAATCTGCAACATTAACTGAATTAGATAATTTTAGCTTAGCTTATACCGTCCGTTATACATTAAACGCGCATTCGTAAATGTATTTTGCGCACGTGCACATGCATATTTGCAGCTGTAAAGGTCTTATGCGCATGCATCAACGCGCTGCATGCGCAGAAAGTTTGTAGCTTTGAAGTCTGGATTATGGGTGTCTGAATTAACGACTTCTGACTGTACTAAGGTACTGTTATTTTTTTTATGTTTCGTACAATATTTGTATTTTTTATCTGAATGTATCCATCACATGTTAAATAAATGGAAAATAATTATTATTCATAAAAAATAATAGTTATTCTGTTTCTTTTTTGCATAATTTACATTTGCAATTGTTTTTTCATAAAAAAAGTTCATGTTGCAGAAAAGATGTTCCTAGTGTTGATTCATTTCTTTGTAAAATATATATATTTTTTTTTCTGTTCGAAGATAAGTGTTTATAGAATGTATGGGTAAAATAAAAGGTACTATTCAGTTTTGAGGGCTGTAAAAAATTGCCAAATTATCGTTGATGCCAATGCTGCCAAAAAGAATTGCGGCAACCCTAACAATTGCAGCAAAAAAGAAAGTATAATAGTAAATAACTATCTAAGATTGATGTTTTAATTTAGATGAAAGGTTAATTTCATATAATACTTTTTTATTATTATAATTTATATGAAAAGGCTTAACATCACTGAATGGAAGCATAAGAGTAAATAACTATTTCAGATCATTATTATAATTTATATAAAAATTGCTAAACATAACTGAATGGATGGCTGCATCGCTATTTCGCTACCGACCTATCGCTAAAGCATAATTTCATCTCGTTGGTTGTTCAAATGTAATTTTCTATAATGAATGATGCCTTTTCTTTGAAAAAATTCTTGGTAAAGTTCAAAATCGCTCACTTATTTGTTTGCCGCTTTTTACAAGAGTAAAAACAATTGGATTTTTGTCAATTTTCTTTTAAGTGAAAATAGGTCGATGTGTACATAGATAAAGTCAAGGGTGTGCGCAGTGCCATTTTTGTGCAATTATAGGATTTTTTTTAAAAGTGAAAATAGGTCGATGTGCACATGGATACCGAGTATGTGACATTCTTAAAAACGCGTCAAGCAGTGGGTGATTCTGCACTTTACCCAAAATTCTATTGCCGACTTTTCGTCATGGGCAATTCCCAAATTGTTAAATCCATAGGATATCAAAAAAGGATTTAAAAATTAAACTAGTAATCCTTTAATTTAAAAATAAACTAAAATCCTAGTATACGGTGCAGCCTTGGTGCGATTTTGAAAATTATCGCCAACACCAAAAATGATCCAAAGAACATCTATATACTGTACACTATATACTATGTGTGTATATACATAATGTCAATATGGCGTCTTAAGAAATATAGAACTATATAAAACTTACGCAATCTGAAATCAACGCGTACGCTAGATTTGGCGCGCTGTTAAATGGGCGCGTTTGCTAGAATTGGTGCTTTTGCGCATACATTTTCGCTGCAATTTTCTTACGGCCCTCAAAACAGAATAGTACCAAATAAAATTTTAATATTTTGATTAGATCATTTTATTGAAACCATAACGCCTCTGTGACCGCACGTCCCCGGTTATGTCCCAATATTTACCCTGTTACGGGTTAATAGCTTTCTTTATCGTTTATTTTTTCTCACCAACTTTTATTAATTATCTACTGTTAATAATTTATATGCTGCAGTAATTTGTTTTCAATACTGAAATTAACATTTCACAAAGCATCATGTAATTTTTCCCAAATAAAGCAATCTTAGCTATAACAATTTTAGTTGTACTACCAAGCAGAGACAAAATTTTTATGCTTACAGACGTGGCTTGATTTTTAGATAGTGTAGTTTCAGGTTTATTTTCCTCTTCATTTAAATGAACTCCCATATTTACATTATATTCTGTCCACTGATTTCCCTTAAATTTTTGTTCCCTTTCTTTTTACATATACAATCCTGACCAGAAATGTAAACAAAGATAAAGTAACGTTGAGATGTATAGTGTTTTGAGTAAAAACTTCAAGTTAGGTGTGGAAACTTGATTAAATAAGAATTCATAGATATTTGTTTATTTAGTATTCTAGTAAATAAAAAAAATCGATTTGTTATGATATTTAATTTTCACATACAAGACTTCCGGAAAATCATGATAAGAAGAAATGTATGTTTATGTGCTTAGAAATTTGAATTTAAAAATATAGGACTGTCTTAAATTAAGGAAAACTTCATTTCCTTATAATGAATTTATTTTGCCATTCTAACGATAATAAGTAGAGAAATTCAAATAATGCTGTTACCTCTACAGAAAGTTTATAATTATTGGTCGATTGGATTGCTTATTCATGATTAAAATATTGTTGCCTATTAATAAACTAGTTGCCGAAATAAATCTGACTACTGTCTTATTTAATATCTTTTTTTTTTTTTTTTTTTTAGGCCTCCTCTTTTAATCAGTTTTATAAAGCGTAAAATCATCATGTAACTTGTAATAAAGTTATTCGGCTTTTAATTACTCTATAAGCTAAAAATTCTCAACGAAATTTTTTTAAATAAATATCTTAAACTGTAATGGTAATTTACCATTAAAAATGCAACTAATCGATGTACTTTCTGAAGGGAAGTTTCGTTTCCTTGCATGTGCAGTTGTCAATGCTATAATGGAAAAGTGGACCAGCCCGTGCTTATTAATGGCGGATATTGATGTTCTGATAGGAGCGTTTAAGGAACTATATTCAACATAAGCCTTGGATAATATATGAAGCATATAAGTTGAGAAAATATAGATGTGTGTCCTGTGTAATGCAGGTATATATTTATCTCTTCTGATTGTTATGCGTAAATAAGTTACAACGAATTGTTACAGTAAATGAAAAATGGGTAAAAATGTATCCAAATACATTAAAAGTCTTGATTTACGCAGTTTGATGTGCCACTTATTGCACTCTCGTTTCGCATTCATTAATTAAGTATGTACAGATTTCTAAAGGTATCTTGTTTTCTGAAAACCTTCTCCCCCCTTTTTAGGTATGTAAATAAATCATCTTTCTACACTTTTAAGTTTTAAAATTACTAATCGCAGTGCTTAATGTTTATGGTTTACGATAGGTAATAGCCGTATGAACCATTTTAATGCAACTGTGTATAAACCTAGTATAAGTATCTTTTTTTTTTTTTTTTTTATAATTCGTAATATAATTGCGATTCTTGGTCGTTGTTTTTTCAATGGTTACTGTACCTTATGCGACCCCTATTTTTAACTTGTATTCGTTAAATTGTAACATTTCCTTAAAGTTGTTTCACGCAGATTTTATCGTTCAGATTGTAACCATTATTATACATAATTACACGTTCTATTGTAAATTTACCTTCGTAACTGTTCAATCTCATCAAATACTGATAACAAAGGGTAACAGTTTATCGTCAACATTATTTCTTATTAACGGTGAAAAGTGTAAATAAAATTTGCCGTTTTAATGAAATTATTTATCTTTAAACTGATAATCGTTCTGTAAAATTATAGTAATCGTGCCCGATTTTAGCGAAATATTAGCTTGTTTACATAGCGTTTATCCAAATGTAGTAATAGTCGGTTATTTTGTTTTCACAGTATGTAATATTTTGATTAATAGATATTATTTTTATATGATTTGTTTTATAGCCTGTTAAACATTCTGTAAGCTCTAACTCCCTTCTTGTTAAATATTACATACTTTTAGTGCAATATATTTTGCTTTAATTATCTTTTAATTCAACTTCTATGTAGAATTTTTAGATAATGTAAAATTTTTCAGATTGCATTTTGTAAAATCTGTTTATTATTACCATGCCTCTTTAACACAATATTTTTAAGATTGAATCTTTTCCTTAATTTTTATTGTGTTTAAATTCCAATCACTTTTTTAATGGATCTGGTTCTAATTGTGGGACTGAGGTACTACAGTGACTAGTAATCATCATGGTCATTATTATTATTTTACTTATTTATAGTGTATGTAAGATAAAAAGTTTAGTCTAAAATATTTTGTTCCCATTTATTCATTTTCGTCAAGTTATGTCATCTTTAGTTTAAAAAATATCTCTTTCAACATGATTATTTAAGTTTATCATTTTTATGCCGTATTTTTAATTGAAAATTTGATTATTAAAAAAACTGCAGGTTTCAGTTTATACCTCTGTAATTGGTCTCAGAGAAGCCTGCTTTCTTGAATTTAAAAGTTATGCAAAATTCAGTTAAGAATTTCCTGTGTTTTTAAAAGGCTGTGGACATTTCAGAAGTCAATTTGAATGTGAATCAGTCATCTAAAAGAAAAAAAGGATTTATTCTGTATTAAATATGGAATTGTTTTAAGTTATTTCAAAATATTTTGATATAAAAATTTAATTCAACACTTATGCAGTTTTGCTTATTATGCAGCTTTTTTGTGGATTTTTTTTAAAAACTGAGTTATCTTTCTATTATAAGACCACTTCTCATCATAATTAGTGACTTTAAAATTATGAATAATTTTAAATTATATTTTATCTTAAAATTTGAATACTTTTTAATCAACACTAGAATTTCTGATGATTAAGTAATCTATACAGTTAGCGTTGCCACCTCTTGGCTGTCAAAATCCGGGAGGGGAAAAAGTTTCCTGAAGAAGAAAAAAAAAATTTTTCAGTCGCAACTGAAAAAAAACTCCGCCTCCTTAATCTCGTTCAAAAGTATTTTTTGAGCTGCAGGAGCAAGCAAACTCTCGCAAATACTTGTACATTTTGTTCTACCACAAGAACTCGTTTCTGCCAAAGAAGAATCTGGAAATAGAGTGCTGTACAATGTGTGCAATCCTGGTTGCTAAAAGTGTGATGGTGCTTAATCCTATGATAGACTTTGTAAGGTATGATAGGCTATGTAATTTCATTTGCTGATATATTGTCCTGTTCTTCTGAAGATTTCTTCAGGAGAAAGTTCGAAATTGATTGCGGGGAATCTCTATTCAATATTAACGACTGGTGTTTTTTGCTTTAGGAATGTACAGTTAAAGCTCTAACATCCTCGTACTTAATATTAACCGTTTTCCGACATACTTTACATTCTTTGTTAAAGTTGTCTCTCTTCATAAGCTAATCAAAGAGTTAACCACTTGTCTTGAAACGACTTCGAATATTTTGTCTTTTTTTGTGGCACATGTTCACTTGCAGAATCAGAATCATTTTTCTCACTAGACATTATTATGAAAGCATTTAAATAATTTCAAAATATGCACTTGTTTATGGATAGCTAGCAAATTGCAGACTAAATGAAAGAGTGGATTAAAAATAAGAGGGTGACAGGAGATGAGGGCGCGTACGCGCGATACGCAGGCATAAAACCACTACTCATCCCGTAAGGCGCTTACTCACTGCTCACTGTAGATCGCTGGTGCAAAGAATATATATTGACATAGACATTCTTTGGCTGCTGTACGCGGTCGTGTGATTTTCGATGCTCTCAGCCATTTCATCCGTGCGCATTGTGTCATTATTTTTGAGAAACTTGATATTACGGGAGAGTAATATTTATTTTAAATTCAATTGGGAGCCGGGAGATTTTAATTTCGAGGACCCGATTTGGGAGAATTCCGGGAGAGGTGGGAACCCTATATACAGTAGAAAAATTCTGTCAGTTTAACAAATTATTAAATACAGTGTTAAATCGACTGCCGATATTTGAAAGTAAAATAACTGTATTTTTTAGAAAATAGAAAAAAAGTTTTGAATAGACATGTTCTCTTAATTGCTCTTTCTCTAAAATGTAGAAAATCCCTTTCTGTTCTTTTGCCCTTCTAGTGGCCTAATGATTCTGAGTTTGACTTATTTTCAGTCTAGGCAAGCAGTCTCTGTTGACAATGTGGCAGATTATTCTGACATGGAAACCCAGAAGTGTTTCTTGTGGTAAAATAAATTTTATCAAGCTATCATCGGCTCCATATGCATTATGAACTTGTGTGCACGAAATAATATACAGGTAACCCTCCTATAACACGGTAGATAGGTTCCTAAAAAATGTGTTGTACGAGACCCAGGGGCAGTGCAAAATGAGGGGTTAAAAACTTATTAAAACCAAGTATTTTTTTTAATTCTGCATAAATAACTTCAATTTTTATTAAAAATATAAATGTATGTATAACACAAAACAAAAAATATTATTTTAATTTAACGCAACTTTTATTTAATTACCGTATTTTCTGGCATATATGACGCACCCCATTTTTATACACATTTTTGAAGGATAAAACTTTATTACTGATCATTATAATTTTACCAGGTTCCTATCATTTTCTCAGATGGGGGTGTCCTGAAATGCCTCTGTGCAGTTCTGTTTCCATGTTCGTTAACATACGCAATCACACGTAGCTTGTATGCTATGTTATAGCAGTGCTGACTTTGTTTTTGAGCCATAACTTGCCAACAAATTTAAAGAAATTCAACAGTAGAAATTTCGCACACTTAAAAGTTGTTCACAAAAATTGGAAAGTTGAAATGAATCCAGCTATGATTATTGATGACAGCACATGTGCATTCCCTGAGCTCTGTGTGTTTGTAATATTCCCATACTCCGCAAGGAAACCAAAAAATTCCATAACTCTGAATAGAGGAAATTTCCAGAAATGAATGTAATCAAAAACTGAGTATCAGCATATAAGACGTACCCTGTTTTTCAGACCTATTTTCGGTACTTTTCCGTTTTGCCGGCGCAAGCGATAAAGTCGCTAATAATGGTACAACCCATGCCAAACGAAATATTCTCGCTGGTAACCTTTTACGCCTCATTTTCAAAACAAGTTGCAGCTTTTTCTTATCAGATTGATTGTTTCTTTCAATACTGGCATATCATTACATATAATTTTTATCAGATAGTTCAGTTTTATGTTTAAGGCAATTTTCGGTAATTAAGTTAATTAGGATGCAATCACAGCACTTACCCGAAGCCGAAAAATATAGAAAGGTAAAGTCAAGGGTTAATTCATCAATTCTAATGAGAATGCATTAGCGAAGTAAAACACTGCAGTTTTACATAATTTCTGAGTAAGCTATTCGTACGAATTGAAATATTTCTTGCATTTTAACTTGTGTTCCAAATTAAGATTTAACTTGAAATCAATGTGGATAATTACTAAGAGCATTAGATTTTTTGTAGAGTAGTTAACGTGAGATGAGATCGCTTGGGGTCACGTGATATGAACCGGCGAATCAGGATGTTGAACCATGAAAGCATAGTAAATTCTTAATGTCTTTTTACAAAATTTGTTTGTCTTTATTTATTGGCTTTTTATAAAATTTTAAGCGACATTAAAATGTTTATGCCTTCTTTTTTAAAAAGAATTCTTAGAACTAACATTTTTTTAATATTTTTTACGTGTATACTGTATGTTGTCGCCAATAAAGTCTGCTTGGCGAGATTTGCGCCGGCGAAACGGAAAAGTACCCTATTTTCAAAGAAAAAAAGTATGTCTTATACACTGGCAAATACGGTAATTTCTTTGTCTTCTTGGCATTTCAGTATAATCAACCAAGAATGTTTTTTCAGTGGAATGAGATCGCTTTCATTTTCAGAATTTTTCTTCATTTAAAGTTCTGGCACCTTCTCCATTTTTTAAAAAAATCTGTAATTTTACTTTGCTTTCTAGTTCTTAGCAAGTCATTGTAAATTTCTCAATATTTAGCTAGACAGATTTGCAGCTTCCTTTTGAATTTTCAGCTTCTTTCAGCGGAAGAGTTTGCATTCAAGAAAAATGACTTAAGATTTTCAGCTAAACTTGGCCTTCTTTTAATTTTTTTACTGTTAAATTATTAAATGCAGTCTTTATCAGTTTTAGTGTCCTCAGAATCGATTTGATTTACAGCTTTGGATGACATTTCCATCAAATCTGCTTCATCAGTTTCTTCTTCCACTAATAAATCTTGAATGTCCTTAATAGCCATATCCAGAAAAATCTTTGCCTTCAATTGACTTCACAAGTTCTAATATGCCACCAATTTCATGATCTGACAATTCACGCACG